GGTCCCCGGCCTTCCAGCGGGGGGTCCTGCGCTGGCCCTGGGTCCTCTGGGGGGTCCCGGAGATGTGGGGAGGATTTGGGGGGCAAGGGGGGCTGGGCGGGGGGGTCACCACGAGGAGTCGTCATCGAGTCTGCGGGGAGAGCTGGTGTGAGAGAGGGGGAAAGAGACCCCCAAACCCCCATGGGACCCCAAACTGCCCCGGGGACCCCCAGCCCGGGGTGCGCTGGGCACAGGGAGGGGACAGCGACAGCGACAGGGACACTCATCGTGACCTGTCCGTCCCCAGGAGAAGGGACAGCAGCAGGGACAGGGACACTCACCGTGGCCTGCCGGTCCCCAGGAGCAGGGACAGGGACAGGGACACTCACCGTGACCTGTCGCTGTCGGTCCCCAGGAGCAGCTCCGTCCCCGCGACACCGGGGCTGGCGCGTTTCCCGTACCTGCGGGACACGGGAGCGCGCCTGAGCCGCAGGGGGCGCGCCCAGGGGTGCGGAGGGGACCCCGCGGGGACAGGGACGCGCGTGTCACCCCCCGTGTGGCGCTCACCTCTGCCGCGTGACCAGGTTGATGTAGTGGCGGAGGGCCGAGAAGTAGCGCGCCATCTCCTCGGGGGACGCGTCCTCGCCGGGGCTCTCGGGTTTGGGGGGGTACGCGGCCGCCAGGCACAGCAGGGCACACAGGGACACGGCCACCAGCGCGCGCCACGCTCGCGGGGACGGCACCATCTGCGGGGGACAGGAACGAGGGGCGGCTGTGGCTGCGGGGGGGGGGGCACCCCCATAGCCCCCGGGACCCCCAAACGGGCTCTGCACCCACCAAACCGGGACCCCCAAACGGGCTCTGCACCCCCATAGCCCCCGGGACCCCCAAACCGGCTCTGCCCCCACCAAACCGAGACCCCCAAACCGGCTCTGCCCCCATAGCCCCCGGGACCCCCAAACCGGCTCTGCACCCCCATAGCCCCCAGGACCCCCAACCCGGCTCTGCACCCACCAAACCGGGACCCCCAACCCGGCTCTGCACCCCCATAGCCCCCGGGACCCCCAAACCCGCTCTGCCTCCACAAAACCCCCCAGCTCCCCAGGGATTTGTTTCACATCCCACCTGGGACCCCAGACCCGTTAAAGAGACATTTCCACCCCTGTTCCACAAGGACCCCTCCCTCCCAAGGACCCCCCTCAGTGTCCCCAAGGGAGCTGTCCCATCCCAAACCTCCCGGGACCCCCAAACCCCGCTCTGCCCCCACCAAACCCCCGGACCCCGTTCATTCATCCTCAGAGCCCCCCCAGCTCCCCAAGGGTTTGTTCCACCCCCCACCCGAGACCCCAGCGCCACTCAAGGGACATCGCCACCCCCGGGACCCCCCCATATCCCATGGGGACCCCTCCCTCCCAGAGACGCCCTCTCAAGGTAGCTGTCGCACCCCAAAGCACCCCAGAGACCCCCGTGCCCCCAAACGGGTCCCCACAGGTCCCCGAGCTGATTGTCCCTCGTGGGGTCCCCCCCGGGACCCCCGCCCGTGGCTGCACTCACGATGGCGGAGGCAGAGGTGGCACCCAGGGCCTGGCACAGGGGTGACAGTGCCGGGGACACGGCGGCTCCCGCACCCGCCCGGGCTTTTATAGCCCAGGGGGGCCGGTGGCTCCTCCCTCACGCGTGACAGACCCACGGGCACTCAGGACACTGCGGCCCCCCCCCCGCGGCCAGGGGACACGTGCCACCACCCTGTCACTGTCACCTGCGCGGTCCCCAGGCTGGGGCACGGAGGGGATGGGGAGGACAGAGCAGGGGGGGACACACGGACACGGGGACACACGGACACGCGTGTGGCCACAGGACACGGACACGGCAATGCCAGGCGGGCACGGGGCACGGGCACGGGTGTGGCATGTCACCATGGCGCACACACAGGTGTGACAGGCGGCCAGGGCACACGGAATGGCACACGGCAGATGTGACAGGCAGCCATGGCACGGTGACATGGATGGGACACGGCCGTGGCACGAGGACACAGGACAGGAACACGGATGTCACACACGGATGTCACACACAGCTGTGTCACGAGGACACAGGACACACAGGGATGCCACACACGGATGTCACATACAGCCGTGGCACGAGGACACGGGACGCACATGGATGTCAGACACGGATATCACACATGGATGTCACACACGGATGTCACACACAGCCGTGGCACGAGGACACAGGACACGGACACCGACATGGATGTCACACACAGCTGTGGCACAAGGACACAGGACACACACGGATGTCACACACGGGTGTCACACACAGCCGTGTCACACAAACCTGCCCTGACACAGCCGCGGGATGTGACAGCGGGACACGGGGACATCAGCCACACCTAGGGACACAAACGTGGCACACGGGACAAGACTCACTGCCCTGAGCCACGCACGGGGGACACTGGAGGGGACAGACACACCCACAGCCACGGCTGCCTGAGTCTCCCCAGACCAGGCACGAAGCCGCCACCACAGCCCCGCCACCGCCATCGAGCGCTGTCACCACCCGCAGGACGGATGAGGTGACCTTTCCAGCCCCCCGTGAGGCGACATTAATCCCGTATGCCATTAAGGAGCAATTACTGAGGGAAACTGAGGCACGGAGGGACGTGCCCGCCGGGCAGGGCCACCAAAGCCACCGTGGGAGTGCTGGGATGGGGACATGTGGCAGAAAGGGGTCCCCAAAACCGCCGGGATGGCTTCTGACCATTGGGGCGGAGGGGATACGGCCGTGGGGACATTGTAGGGTGCCACCAGCGCGGCTGGAGGTGACACGAATCGGCCGGAGGGGACACGGGAGGTGCCAGTCCCGGGTTGGGGGGACACGGGAGGTGCCAGCCCCGGCCGGAGGGGACACGGGAGGTGCCAGCCCCGGCCGTGGGGGACACGGGAGGTGCCAACCCCGGGTTGGGGGGGACACGGGAGGTGCCAACCCCGGGTTGGGGGGGACACGGGAGGTGCCAGCCCCGGCTGGATGGGACACGGGAGGTGCCAGCCCCGGCCGGAGGGGACGCGCCCCCCGCTCCTGCTCCGGTTGTGACCCGGGCAGCAGCACCCGGCGGGGACACGGCTGGTGGCACCGGCGGGGCTGTCCCCCGTGGCGGGGACACGGCTGGTGGCACCGGCGGGGCTGTCCCCCGTGGCGTGGCCGCGCTGTGACACCCGCGGGCCGCGGGGACACGGGCGGGGGGTCCCGGCCGAGCGGCGCCGCGCTCGGGCAGCACCGGGACGATGTCACCGCGCTGTCACAGCTGTCCCCCGGCCGGGGGGGACCCGGGGCGGGGGGGACCGGAGCTTTCTGCCCCATTTATCGCAGGGACAGCAAACAGACATTTTCCAAAGGTCACAGCGTGGCTCTGCCGCGGGGGGGGCGCGGGCGGCACCCCCGGCACGGCGGGGACAGGGCTGGGGGGGGTCCCTGCCTGCCCCCACCCCCCCCCCAGGGACATGAGGAGGAAGAGGAGGGTTTGGGGGGGGGGGGGGGCGCGGGGCTGGAGCCGCCGGGGGTGCCGGGGGTGAGGAGGGAGGTGCCCCCCCGAGCGAACCGGGCACACCGGGCACACCGGGCACGCCGCGCCGCCTGCCCGCGTTTTATGGCCCCGGTTCCGCCGGAGGCGCCATTAGGGCCCCCCGGAGGAAGCCCCTTATCAGCGCTGTTTGCTTTTCCGGCCACGGCGGGGGGACACGGGCACCTGGGGGGGACAGGGACACCTGGGGGGGACAGGGACACGTGGGACATGGACACCTGGGAGGGACAGGGACACCTGGAGGGGGGACAGGGACACTTGGAGGGGACACGGACACTTGGGGGGGACAGGGACACCTGAGGGGGGACAGGGACACCTGCAATGCCCGGGGGGGGGACACAGACACCTGGGGGGGACACGGACACCTGAGGGGGGAACAGGGACACCTGGAGGGGGGACACGGACACGTGGGGGGGACAGGGACACCTGAGGGGGGACAGGGACACCTGGGGGGGACAGGGACACCTGGGGTGGGGACAGAGACACCTGGGGGGGACAGGGACACCTGCAATGCCCGGGGGGGGGACACAGACACCTGGGGGGGACACGGACACCTGAGGGGGGAACAGGGACACCGGGAGGGGACAGGGACACCTGCCCAGCTTGGGGGGGGACACACAGCCCTGCCCAGCCCGGGAGGGGGACACAGACACCTGAGGGGGGACACGGACACCTGCCTTGCACCGGGGGTTTGGGGACACAAACACAGCCCAGGGACAGCATGAGAGGACTGAGGCCACAGCCCACGGGGACCCTGGGGGTTGCCAGCCCCTCCCTGGGACCCCCACCCATTCCAGAACACCCACAGTCAAGTCCCCAGAGTGGCTCCCCCTCAAACAGCTCACCCCAAACCCCTCAGACTCACATCCCTCCCCAGATTTGTCCCCCCAAAGTGGCTCTCCATGAGGGTCCCCCAAAAGAACTCCCCTGCAGCAGCCCCTCCACCCCAAACCCCTAAAGGGGCTCTGCCCTCCAAGCCCCCCCAAAGCATCTCCCCTTAATCAGCCCCCCAAAAGCATCTCCCCTGAACCAGTTTCCCAAAAGCATGTCCCCTGAATCAGCCCCCCCAAAAGCATCTCCCCTGAATCAGTTCCCCCCAAAGTGACTCCTCTGAAGCAGTTTCCCCCAGAGCAGCCCCTCCCTCACCATCAGCTCCCCAAAGCACTCCTGCACTGCACTCCAGCACCCCAAAAGCAGTTTGTGCCCCAAAAGCTGCAGCCCCTCCTCACCCCGGCACCCAAAGCTGATCCCCCTGCGGTGAGACATTAAACATTTCTCAGTGCATCAGTAAAAATACTTTTTTTTTTTTTGGGGGGTGGAGCAGTGACACCCCTCAGCAGAGTGAGAGACCCTGACCACACAGTGGCAGGACCCCTCCCCAACCCATCCTCCGCCAAAATTATCAAATATTTACAAAACAAAAAAAAACCCACCCCAGAAAAAAAACCCAACAAATAAATAGCGTCGCTCCTTAAAAAACCCCTCCCACCCTTCACCCCCTCATCCATCGGTGGCCAGGATGACCACGGCCCCGAAGATGCCGACGTTCTGGCCGATGAGCTTCATCTGGTTCCAGAACTCGACGCGGCGCAGCGCGTGCCAGTAGCCCAGGTTGCCGTCGATGAGGAGGATGGCCAGGGGCAGCAGCACGGCCAGCACCTGGGCCGCTGTCCTCACGTAGTAACCCGAGAGGAAGGCCAGGGCCAGCAGCCCGTAGAGCAGGAAGAGCAGCTGCAGGGCCAGCTCACCCCCCAGCAGGTGGTCCAGGTAGGCCAGGCGGTCCTCGGTGCTGTGCTGCAGGGAGTAGGCCTGGGGGGACAAAGAGGGGACAAGGGGATGCTTACAGTGAGGGGTGGCAGCGGTGCCACGCAAGGTTTCACCCCCAGGGACAAGGGGGACCTGGAGTGTAGTGGCACTGGGAACATCTACACAAGAGTTCTGGGATGGGGAGAGGTGGCAGAAGGGGGTCCCTAAAACCTGGGGGTCATGGGAGATGCAGGGGACACTTGCAGTGGGGGATGGAAGGTGGTGGCACTGGTGCCATGCAAGGTTTCACCCCCAGGGACAAGGGGGACCTGGAGTGGAACACCCACACAAAGAGTTCTGGGATGGGGAGAGTCCCACCAAAACCTGGGACAAAGGGACACTCACAGTGGGGCATGACACCGGTGCTATCTGAGGTTTCTACCCTAGAGACAATGGGGACCTGGAGTGTGGTGGCACTGGGAACCCCCACACAAAGAGTTCTGGGATGGGGAGAGTCCTACCAAAAGTCCCACCAAAACCTGGGACAAAGGGACACTCACAGTGGGGGATGGCACTGGTGCCATGCAAGGTTTCTACCCCAGGGACAACGGGGACCTGGAGTGTGGAACATCCACACAAGAGTTGTGTGATGGGGAGAGGTGGCAGAAGGGGGGTCCCCCAAAACCTGGGGGTCATGGGGGACGCAGGGGACACTTGCAGCAGGGGATAGAGTGTGGTGGCACCAGTGCCATGCAAGGTTTCACCCCCAGGGACAAGGGGGACCTGGAGTGTGGTGGCACTGGGAACATCCACACAAGAGTTGTGTGATGGGGAGAGGTGGCAGAAGGGGGTCCCCAAAACCTGGGAGTCATGGGGGATGCAGTGTGGTGGCACTGGTGACAATCCCCCAAGGACATCTGCTGCCCGAGACTTCTCCCCTGGGGACAGTGTGGGCTTGGTGACACTGGTGACACCACCCTGAGGTGGTGGACTGTCCCTGAGGCTCGCAGCAGGGACAATCTGGAGCACTGCCCAAGGCTTCTCCCACAGGAACTATGTCCCCAGCCCACAGCACAGGGGTGTCCTCTGTCCCCAGGTGTCCCCTGCTGTCCCCAGGTGTCCCCAGTACCTGGCAGATGAGGTAGATGCCCAGGAACACCTGGCCCGTGGACTGCAGGGAGCGGCTGCGGGGTTTCTGCCGGTACAGCTCCCCGGCGCCGCTGGCCAGGATCAGGAACCCGCCGATGATGGCGATGGTGCGCGAGTACATCCTCACCTGGGGGCACGCTGCCATCAGTGCCACCCACTGCCCTTGGTGCCACCCTGAGCACCCTCAGTGCCACCCACTGCCCTCAGTGCCACCTGGGCAACCATCAGTGCCACCCAGAGCACCCATCAGTGCCACCCGGAGCACCCTCAGTGCCACCTGGGCAGCCATCAGTGCCACCCAGAGCACCCATCAGTGCCACCCGGAGCACCCTCAGTGCCACCTGGGCAGCCATCAGTGCCACCCAGAGCACCCTCAGTGCCACCTGGACAGCCATCAGTGCCACCCACTGCTCCCAGTGCCGCCTGGGCTGCCATCAGTGCCACCCACTGCCCATTAGTGCCACCTGGGCTGCCAACAGTGCCACCCGGAGCACCCTCAGTGCCACCTGGGGCTGCCCGTCACTGCCATCAGTGCCACCCACTGCCCTCAGTGCCACCCAGAGCATCCTCAGTGCCACCCACTGCCCTCAGTGCCATCCAGAGCATCCTCAGTGCCACCCACAGTGCCCTCAGTGCCACTCTGGGGCTGCCTGTCACTGCCCCTCAGTGCCACCCAGGGCTGCCCCACAGTGTCACCGGGGGCTCTGGGGGCAGCAGGGGTGGGGGTCTCACCTTGAGCCAGTCTCCGTAGTGCACGTGCCCCCCGACGTGGGCAGCGTAGGTGGCCACTGCCAGCTGCAGGGCAGCCCCCAGGGCGAACCAGCGCCGCTTGACCCCGAAGGACATGAAGCTGGCACAGAGCACGGCCACGCCCATGTCCACGTACAGGTAGGGCACCGGGATGTCCGGCTTCCTGCGGGGACAGGGACAGCAGCTCCGGCACCCCCATAGTCACCCCAGAGCCCCCAGAGTGTCCCCTGGGTTATGGGGCAGCCACAGCCCTCCCCTGCCCCACAGAGCCCCCTCTGCTGCTCTGTCCCCTTCCCAGAGCCCAGACCCCGACACTGCCGGGGTGTCCCCTCAGCCCCAGCCCCCCGAGGGTCCCTGTCACCTGTCCCAGCCCCACCAACGGTCCCTGCCACCTGCCCAGCCCCACACTGACCCAGGAGCCCCCCAGCTGCCCCACACTTCAGCACCTCCCACCCCCAGCCCCTCACACCCCGGGGCTCCCCCGGCTCTCAGGGCCCCGCAGCAGCCCCTGCACCCCGGATACTCCCGAGACCCTCCAGGCCGCACACTCCACACCCCCTCTGCCCCTCCAGACCGCAGGTTCTCACAGATCCCCACCAGCCCAGCCCCACAGCCGCCCCTGCCCTCACAACCGCCCGCAGCCCCTCACAGGCCCAGGCTCCCCAGGAGCACTCGCAGGCGCCCGGCCCCGTCGCGCACCGGCGCAGGTCGGCGCGCTCGGCGCACAGCAGCAGCCCGCTGAAGCAGTGCCAGAAGGGGAAGCGGGTGAGCAGCACGCCGCCGCCCGCCGTCAGCAGCCGCAGCGCCCGCCGCCTCCACCCGCGGCCCGCCGCCATCACCGGGCCGTCCCGCCGGAAATGCCGCGCCGGAACAGCCGCCTCGCCGACCAATCAGCGCCGCGCAAGGAGGAAGCCACGCCCTCTCCGTACAAACCACGCCCCTTTAATGGCAGCGCCCTCATTCCCCTCAGGCCGCGCCTCTCCATTCAAATGGCGGCTCCTGCCCCAAAATCGCGGCCTCGCTCCGGAACAGCCGCGCCCAGCGAGCCTCCAGCCTGCCCCGGGCCGCGCCTTGTCCCCGAAACCTCGCCATGGCCTCAGCCGCGCCCCATCAATCAAACAAACCCTCATTGAAAATGCAGCGCCAGACCCCGCCCCCCGCTGAAGCCACGCCCCATAACAATGGGTGTAACAAACCCCACCCTAAACCACGCCCACTCCTCTTAGCCACGCCCCTCGCGAGGCCACGCCCCATTGAGCCCCCACAGACTCCGGTGATGGTTAAAAAAATTTCGGGTTTTTATTGTTTTTTGCTAAACAAGACTAAAAAATTTTCCTTTTTTTTTTCTTTTTTTTTAATTTTTTTTTTTAATCTTTAATTTTCCTAAAGGCAGGGCTTGAATTGTTTTGAGTTTGATCTGCTTTTTGTTTTTAATTAAAAAAAAAACCAAACAAAAAAAACAATGGGGAGGAAACAAAAGGGGGACGGGGAGGATCGTGGCAAAAAAAATTTAAAATAAAAAAAGAAATTAAAAATTAAATGAAAAAGGGCAAAAAAATTAAAAACATAAAGGAAATGGGGTGAAACCCCAAATCCAGGTTCTGGCTGCTCCCAAGGACGTGTTAAGAGGGATTTTTTGCCACGACCCTAGAAGCAGACAAATATTTAAAGAACATTTTAATATATATTCATATATATATTTAAAGATAAGAAAAATAAGACTAATTCAAGCCTTGCCCTGTGCAAACAAAATTAAAACGAGACCACATTGGTCACGAGGGTCCCGGGTCAGCCACCACAGTCAGCTCGTTAGCTTTATTTTCTGGAGGGATTTTTGGGCAAAAGGGAGGCAGGAATTGGGAGGAAAAGGGGAAAGAAAAAAAAAAAAAAGGCCAAAAAATAAAATTAACAGAGTCTGACTGGCTGGAGGGAGAAACCATGGCGGAAAAACAAAGTCTGTTAGTCAAGTAATGCGTGAGGAGCTTTAAATTATTCTCTTTTCTTGTTTGTTTTGAAGTCTAAAGTTTGGAATTGGTTGAGATTTTCCCAAAAAAAAAAAAAAAAAAAAAAAGGAAATAAAAGTTGAAGGAGCCCCCGGCGCCGCCTCCGGGGAGGGGACGCGGGGACGGGGTGGTGGTGGTGGCCCCGAGGTGGCCTCAGGATGACAGGGATGTGTCCTTCTGTGTCTGCTGTGCTTGTGAACGCTGCAGGACCTTCTGGCTTTCCACGTCCCGGAAGTGTTTCTCCACCTGCAGGGGAAGGGGGAACCAAGGGGTTCAGGGGAGGAACCCGGGAGGGGCTGGGGAACCCCTGGAGGGGATGGGGACCAAGCAAGAAGGGGCTGGAGAATGCCAAGAGGGGCTGGGGAACCCCTGGAGGGGCTGGAGAGCAGAAAGGAGGGGCTGGAGAACCCCAGGAGGGGCTGGAGGCCAAGCAAGAAGGGGTTGGAGAACCCCAGGAGGGGCTGGGGAACCCCTGGAGGGCATGGGGACCAAGCAAGAAGGGGCTGGAGAACCTCAGGAGGGGCTGGAGAACCCCTGGAGGGGCTGGAGAACCTCAGGAGGGGCTGGAAGCCAAGCAAGAAGGGGTTGGAGAACCCCATGAGGAATTGGGGAGCCTCAGGAGGGGCTGGAGGCCAATCAAGCATGGCCTGGAGAACCCCTGGAGAGGCTGGAGGCCAAGCCAGGAGGGGCTGGGGAACCCCAGGAGGGGCTGGAGGCCAAGCAAAGAGGGGTTGGAGAACCCCAGGTGGAACTGGGGAGCCTCAGGAGGGGCTGGAAGCCAAGCAAGAAGGGGTTGGAGAGCCCCAAGAATGGCTGGGGAACCCCAGGAGGGGCTGGAGGCCAAGCAAGAAGGGGTTGGAGAACCTCAGGAATGGCTGGGGAACTCCAGGAAGGGCTGGGGAACCCCAGGAGGGGCTGGGGAACCCCAGGAGGCCAAGCAAAGAGGGGCTGGAGAACTCCAGGAGGAGTTGAGGAACCCCAGGAGGGGCTGGAGGCCAAGCAAAGAGGGCCTGGAGAACCTTAGGAAGGGCTGGAGAACCCCAGGAAGGTCTGGAGGCCAAGCCAGGAGGGGCTGGAGAACCCCAGGAGGGGCTGGAGAATGCCAGGAAGGGATGGAGAACCCCAGGAGGGCAAGCCAGGAGGGGCTGGAGAATGCCAGGAAGGGATGGAGAACCCCAGGAGGGGCTGGAAGCCAAGCAAGGAGGGGCTGGAGAACCCCAGGAAGGTCTGAAGAATCCCAGGAAGGTCTGGAGAATCCCAGGAAGGGTCTCAGGTGTCCCCAGGGAGGTGACACCCACCCAGTCCTTCCCAGTGTCCCCATCCCCTGCTCACCACTCTGAGCACACGACTCAAAAAGGGGGATCTGCAGAGGGAAGGGGATGCCAGGAGAGGCTGGAGCCCATCCAAGGAGGCTCCTGGCTGTCCCCAGGGATGTGCCACCCTCCCAGGACGTGCCACCCTCCCGGTGTCCCCACACTCACTATTTTGCGTACGTGGCTCAGGGCGCTCCCCTCTTTGCCTTTACAGTTCTCCACCTGGTACGGAGGGGCAATGACGACTTCTTCCATCACAACGATGTTCTTCTCCTGCCATTTACAGTCCTTAATGCTGAGGGGAGGGACAATGGCATCAGGGACTGCCACCACTGCCCCCTGGGGTGGGGCTGTGTCCCCCTGAGGGGGCACAGAGCACCCTGGTCACTCCAGGGTCTGGCTGGAGAGGGGTGGGACCCCAAAGGGGGTGGGATGTGCCAGGCAGGGCAGGGAGCAGGCAGGGAGCCACCCTCACCCCCAAGGATCCCATCCAGGACACACCAGAACGTTCCAGGGCAAACCCAGCGAGGGCAATCCCCTAAAAAGGCTGTGGGGGACTCCAAAATGAGCCTGGGGACCTCTGGGTGGGCACTGGGTACCCCTGGGTGGGCACTGGGGACCCCTGGGTGGGCACTGGGTGGGCACTTACGTCTTATGGATGGTCTGGAAGAGCTGCTGCCCCTCCAGAGAGACACCAGCACTAATTGCATACGCCTGGCTCATCTTCTCCTCCTTCTCCGTCCGTGCTTTGTTGGCAAGCTGGGGACACACAGGGACAGGGGTTGGGCTGGGAGCACTGAGGGGACACGGGGACACCCCAGGTATGGCTCTGCCCCTTGGGATTCCAGCCTAAATTCACCCTCAGCATTGCCAGGGCCTCCCAGAGATTTGGGGGGTGGTGGTGCCATCTCCTCACATCCCCCTGCCCCTTTCTGAATTAATTCTGGCATTTTAGGTGCAAACCCCCCTCACCACTCAGTTCACTTGGGATGGAGATGAGGAAGAGGAGCCCTGGAACACCCAGCACGCTGGGAGTAAATGCTCCACGCAGGAGTAGGAGCAACTCTAGCCTGCAGCAGTTGGTTTGCTCCCAAAAAACACCCAGAATTGGTTATCTGGGAGCTGCATCCGTGTGTGGGGAGGTGTGATTACACACAGGGTGCTGGAATAGAGATGGAAAACCCCGACCCTGGCCTCCCCCAGGCTGCATCCCATGGATGTGGGAGGGGAAGGAAGCAGAGCCTGGAGGCAGCAGCCTCGGACCAGCTGCCTTTTCCTGGCTGGAGCTGCCGCAGTGGAGGAGCCACATCAGCATCATCCCTCCTCTTCCTCCTCCTGGGGCCTGGTCATTGCTGGGAGCACACCCAGAGCTGCTCTGGCTTCCTGCTGCTGCCTGAGGGGGTCTCAGCCCTTGGAAAGCCCCAGCTCCCTCTGACTGCGGACCCTTCAGTGCCCCTGAGGGACAGGAGTCCTCTCTTGGTGGCAGCAGGGACAGGAGCCTTCCTCACCCTCACAACCTCACCACCCAGCCCACTCCACGTGGGAATGGCTCCCTCCAGGGCCACCAGCCAGGCTTCTAAAGCTGACACAACATTCCACAGGAACTTCCCTGGAGAAGTGGGAACCTCCCTCACCCCACTGGGATGGGCTGGAATTGTGGGGCAGAGCCCTGAGAATCCCCTCTGCCATGTCACCCCCTTCCCCAGCCAGACCTGATCCCCCGTCCCAGCCTGAGGTTCAGATCCTCTGTCCCAGGCCCTGGGATGTTCCTCCAGCAGCTGCTGCACCCACACTTGGGGACAGCCCCGACAAGAGGCCACCAGGAGGTGGCTGGAACCCCCAGAGAGGTGCCAGCAGCAGCAGCCCAGCATTGCCAAAGGATCCATCCCTGTGCTCATCACTCCCTGCAGCAGGTGTCCCCCAAAGCCCTCAGCTCTCTGGGTTCCCTGGAGTGCTGCCAGCACTCCCATGTGCACACACCTCCTTCTCCCAGTACAACCAGTACCACCAGCAACATCCCAGTCCAGCCTGCCTGAGCCCCCATGGGGATGGGGGCATTGCCACTGGCACAGCCCCTTCCAACCCGACTGCATCTGTCACCTCCCCACATCCAAACCCACAACTCTGGGACGCTGGAAAAGACCAAAGTGAGCACCGGAGTTCCTGAGGGGCTCCCCAAAATCAGCACTGGAATTCCTGAGGGGCTCCCCAAAGTGAACACTGGAATTCCTGAGGGGGCTCCCCAAAGTGAGCACTGGAATTCCTGAGGGGGATCCCCAAAGTTAACAATGAATTCCTGAGGGGGATCCACAAAGTCAGCACTGAATTCCTGAGGGGGTTCCCAAAGTTAACACTGAATTCCTGAGGGGGATCCCCAAAGTCAGCACTGGAATTCCTGAGGGGGCTCCCCAAAATCAGCACTGGAATTCCTGAGGGGGATCCCCGAAGTTAACACTGAATTCCTGAGGAGGTTTCCCAAAGTTAACACTGAATTCCTGAGGGGGTTCCCCAAATGAACACTGGAATTCCTGAGGGGTTCCCTGAAGTGAACACTGGAATTCCTGAGGGGGTTTCCCAAAGGGAACACTGAATTCCTGAGGGGGATCCCCAAGTTTAACAATGAATTCCTGAGGGGGTTCCCCAAAGTTAACACTGAATTCCTGAGGGGTTTCCCTGAATTTAACACTGGAATTCCTGAGGGGGATCCCCAAATGAGCACTGAAATTCCTTAAGGGTTCCCCAAAGTTAACACTGGAATTACTGAGGGGTTCCCCAAAGTTAACACTGAATTCCTCAGGGGGATCCCCTCAGGCTGAGCTCCCAGCCATGTCACCGGCTGCAGTGACAGCCAGCAGTCACACTGTGGTGGCAGCTGTGTCATTTGAGACCTGGATGTCTTACTCCATCGGGAAGGGACCCAGGAGGGCATGGACACCCAGCTGGTGCCACCTGTGTGGCACAAAGCCCCGGGAGAGGTGTCCCTGTGGCACAAGGAGGTGACAAGGAGCACCCCACACCTGGATTCACCCCAGCACTGAGGGCTCGGGGTCACCTCCCCTGCTTTTCACCTCACTGGGAATGGGCAGTGATCCCATTCCAGGATGGATGGAAAGCAATTCCTCAGAATTCCAGGAGCTCCCCTTTGTGTGCACTCCAAAATCTAGATCCAAAATAGCCTCATCCAGACCCCAAACATCACTACCTGGGCCCAAACTACCAAAACCCAGGCTCCAAACCCCAAAACAAATCACCTTGGAGCCCAAAAATACCAAAATCCAGGTCCCCAAATGCCAAAAATCTAGATATAAAACCCAGGCCCCAAAACCACCCAAAACCCAGGCCCTAAATGCCAAAACCCAGAGCCTAAACCCAACAAAATCCAGGCTCCAAACCCCTCAAAAGGCAAACCCCAAAACAAGATCACCTTAGAGCCCAAAAATACCAAAATCCGGGTCCCCAAACGCCAAAAATCTAAACATAGATATATATATCTACGTATAAAATCCAGGCCCTGAAAGCCAAAACCCAGAGCCTAAACCCAACAAAATCCAGGCTCCAAATCCCTCAAAAGGCAAACCCCAAAACAAGATCACCTTAGAGCCCAAAAATACCAAAATCTGGGTGCCCAAACGCCAAAAATCTAAACATAGATATATATATATCTACGTATAAAATCCAGGCCCTGAAAGCCAAAACCCAGAGCCTAAACCCAACAAAATCCAGGCTCCAAACCCCTCAAAAGGCAAACCCCAAAACAAGATCACCTTAGAGCCCAAAAATACCAAAATCTGGGTGCCCAAACGCCAAAAATCTAAACATAGATATATATATATATCTACGTATAAAATCCAGGCCCCAAAACCACCCAAAACCCAGGCCCTAAATGCCAAAACCCAGAGCCTAAACCCAACAAAATCCAGGCTCCAAACCCCTCAAAATGCAAACCCCAAAACAAGATCACCTTAGAGCCCAAAAATACCAAAATTCGGGTCCCCAAATGCCAAAAATCTAAACATAGATATATATATATATCTACGTATAAAATCCAGGCCCTGAAAGCCAAAACCCAGAGCCTAAACCCAACAAAATCCAGGCTCCAAACCCCTCAAAATGCAAAACAAGATCACCTTGGAGCCCAAAAATACCAAAATCTGGGTGCCCAAACGCCAAAAATCTAAACATAGATTTATATATATATATATATATCTACATATAAAATCCAGGCCCTAAATGCCAAAACCCAGACCCCAAACCCAACAAAATCCAGGCCCCAAATGCCAAAACCCAGAGCCCAAAGTGGCAAAACCCAGAGCCAAATCACCAAACCCCAGATCCAGGATGGAACTCCGGGAAGCTGCGCTGGGAGCAGCTCCAGTGGTGAATCCTGCTGGATCCTTGGAGAATTTTGGGGGATTCCCTGCAGGATTTTGGGGGAGCCCTGCTGAGGAGGGGCTCTCTCACCTTGCTGACGTTGAGGGAGGCTAAAGGGGGAGGCGTTTCCGTGCGGTCATTGATTATTTCCACTTCTGACACGTACTGTAAGTTTACGAGCAGGATGTCTGCGTGGTTGGGCTTGCCACTGGAAGAGGGGCATTCTGCACGAGGGCATTAAGGAAAACAAATCCAGAAAGAGGGTTTTGTAGGTGAGGAGCAAAGCAGGAGGAGGTTGGGGTTGTGGGGAGCTCCTTTGCTGCCTTGGGATTATCAGTGATCCCATCTCATCTCCCTCTGCAGCTGTGGGTGATTCTGGTCTACCCCAAATCCAGATTGATTCTCCACTCCTGGCCCACCAGCACCACTGGTTTGAGCCAGCACCACCAAATTTGCACTTTTTCCACCAGAATTCTTTTCCTCCTGCAGGCAGCAGCATCCCCAGGGAGGATTCTCTTCTCTAAAGAAGGGAATTCTCAGGAGAGGGACACACAAGGTTGGTTGCTGGGGACGGGACAGCACCCCAACAAAACCACCCAAAACACTCCTTTCTATTGGGAATGAGACAGCACCCCCAAAAAAAACCCCAAAACACTGCTTTCAGAGCTGATTCCTGCACGATTCCTCTGCTCCCATGAGGATGGATGGATGGATGGATGGATGGATGGATGGATGGATGGAGGAGCACAGCACGGAGAGCCTCTTCCATGCCAACACCATTTCCCCCTAGAAGAGATCCCCATGGAACTCCCTGTTCCTCTCCCAGCCCTCCTGAGCACAAGGTGGAGCCCTCCCTAAAAAACACCATTCAATGATGAGCAGAAAGCCAGGAAATTCCAGTTTCCTCCTTTGGGGGATGAGCTGGAGCACCCCAGATGTGGCAGGAACAGCTGGACTTGGGGAAAGGCTGGCTCAGCCCCACAAGCAGCACTGAGCAACCTGTTGGACGCTCTGGGATTTTCCTGCTGCCTCCAGTGGGACCTGGGAGCTCCCCTGGCTCCAAGCACATTCCAGGGGGCTTTTTCCTGTCCTGATTCCCACAAAACCCTCTCCCAGCTCCTCATTCCCTGCAGAAGCCACCCCTGGCCCCCCCAGAACTCCAACACCAGCCCTGAGGTGAGCATTCTCCTTCCCCCATCTCCTGGGACCCTCCGCTGCTTCCCAACAGCCCTCGGCTTTTCCCGTTCCTTGCAGATTCCAAACAAAACCACATCCATGGATATTCACACTGGGGGGGTGGCAGGGAACACCCCACTGCCCCCCACTCACCCCAACACGAGGCTCCCCAATCCCCCCACAGTGAATGCCACACCCCCACTCGCCCCACTACAGAATTCCCCACTGCTGCCCCCAAAAAAACCTCCAGGACACCACAGCCCCCCCCATTCTCCCCAAAACTGGGTGCTCTCTCTCTGCCCCCATTCAAACTAGTACAGAGCTCCCCACTCCCTCCCAAAAGCTCTTTATAATGCAGGGCCCCTCCATCCCTCATTCACCCCAAAACCAGCCCCAAATCCCCCCATTCCCCCTAACACAGGCTCCCCAATCCCCCCACAACAAACCTCCTCACTGCTCCCCAAAATCTCCCTGCAGGACACCCCCCATCCCATTCACCCATTACAACACTCCCAACTCCCCCATTCACCAGAGCTCCTCCATCCTCTCTTCCCCGGGTTAAATCACCACAATCCCCCCGCACCGAGCTCCCCAATCCCCCCATTCACCCCAACACCAACCTCCCCAATCCCCCCAAAATCGCCCTGCAGGACACCCCCCATCCCATTCACCCATTACAACACTCCCACTTCCCCCACTCACCAGAGCTCCTCAATCCCCTCTCGCCGGTTACAATCACCCCAATCCCCCCGGCACCGAGCTCCCCAATCCCCTCATTCACCCCAACACCAACCTCCCCAATCCCTCCAAAATCTCCCTGCAGGACACCCCCCATCCCATTCACCCATTACAAGACCCCCAACTCCCCCATTCACTCCAGCTCAAGGCTCCTCAATCCCCTCTCGCTGGCTACAATCGCCCCAATCCCTGCACACAGCGCTCCCCAATCCCCCCATTCATCCCAACACCACCCTCCCCAATCCCCCCCAAACCTCCCGAGCGGACTCCCCGCTCCCCCCATCCCCGGGGGTCTCCCACAGCCCCTCAGACCCCTCCCCGTCGCCGCCCACCTCGATCCCCTCACACCCCCTCCCCTTTTTCCCCCTTTCCCCTCCCTCCCTCACGCCCCCCCCCCTCATCGGGCGGGCCGCAGAGGCCCGAGCGGGCCGCGCCGGGGCCGGGAGCAGCGCGGCGAGGCGCGGGCGGGTGGATACTGAGCGCCAGCATCTTGCTGGGGTAGTCGAAGGCGACGACCTCGCCCTGGAGGCGCTGCTCCTGGCAGGTGCGGCAGGACACCTGGCTGCCCACGCTGAAGTACTCGCCCGGCGCCGCCATCTTGTCCGCCCGCAGCGCCCGCGGCTCCGCTCGCCTCGGCCAGGCGCGGCGGGGGCGGGGCCGCGCGGCAGCGAGGGCGGGGATTGGCGCTCCGCCCCGCCGATCTGCTCCGCCCCGCGTTCTGATTGGTTGAGCCCAGCCCGGCCGCGGTTTGTCCCTCCCGCCCCGCCGTAGCGCGCCGCCCCGCGGGCGGTGATGGGAAGTGTAGGCGGAAGAGGGCGCGGAGAGCGGCGGGAGGGAGTTTTGAGGGGTCCCCGGGATGGAGCCCCCCCCGCAGGTACCTCCCGCCGGTACCGGGGGGTGGGCAGCGCCACCGGGAGGCTCAGAGGCGGCTGGTGGGGATGGGCAGGCCGCGGGTGTGATGCAGGGAGACCCCAGGGAGGCCTCGGGCCTGAGAGCACAGGGAGGCCCGGAGGGACCCCAGAGGGACCCCAGGGAGGGGCAGGACCGGCCTTGGGGAGACCTCGGGAAAACCCCAAGGAAAACCAATGGTGGCTCCAGGGACACCCCAGGCCCCCTGCAGAATGACCACGGGACACCCAGGAGGTTTCCAAGGGGAAGCCCAGGGAGGTGGTGGCTCTTTGGAGCATCTCAGCAGCTCCAGCAAAGCCCACAGCAACCCCGCGATCCTGCCCTACTCCGCAGCCCGGAGCCACGGGTGTGCTCTGCCCTGGGGCAGGGACCTGAGAGTCATCTGTGGGTAAACTTCGAGTGGTGAATGACTGCCTGAGTCAGTGCCAAGGGATTCCTCAGAATCCAGTCACCTACCCAAGGGATCCCTTGGGATCCAGCCACCTCCCCTGATGTCCCCAAGGGATCCCTTGGGATCGAGCAACCTCCCACCAAGGGATTCCTCAGGATCCAGCCCCCTCCCCTGCTGTCCCCAAGGGATTCCTAAGGATCCTTTGGGATCCAGCCCCCTCCCCTGCTGTCCCCAAGGGATCCCAGGGATCACTGCCAGTGCTGATCTCCCTGCACTCCCCGCACAGGAGCCAGTGCCCCAGCCCAGTGCCATGGACGCCCTGCACCAGGCTGGCATCCACGCCGCCGTGGCCCTGCAGGCTGGGCCGCCCTGGCTGGAGCAGTTCTGGCTGCTGCTGAGCTCGCACCTGGGCCCCGGCTCCATCTACACCGTGTGCTTCCCGCTGGCCCGCGGCCTGGACGAGCGCGTGTCCCTCATGGTGCTCTGGATCGCCCTGCTGGCCGAGTGGCTCAACGTGGTGCTCAAGTGGTGAGGGGGGCACTGGGGCACTCCCTGCGCCCTGCCTGGGGCATTGGGGGCACAGATTCCCTGTCTGGGGCCTTGGGGGCACAGATTCCCTGCCTGTGCCACCCTGGGCACACACTCCCTGTCTGGGGCCTTGGGGGCACAGATTCCCTGCCTGTGCCGCCCTGGGCACACACTCCCTGCCTGTGGCACTCTGGGCACACATTCATTCCCTGCCTGTGCCACTGTGGGCACAGATTCCCTGTCTGGGGCACTCTGGGCACACATTCATTCCCTGCCTGTGGCACTCTGGGCACACATTCATTCCCTGCCTGTGCCATTCCCCAGGGTCACCCAAGCTGCCCCCCGAGCATGTGCCAGGAATTCCTGGCAGGGAAAAGCCCAGGAGGCAGCAGGACTGGCAAGGGATCCTGATCCTCTGGGGCTTGATCTCCTCTGGAGATGGGATTGTCCTGGGATGGGCTGCAGGGGATCCTGCTCTCCTGGAAATCCTGGGATGGGATCCTGCCCTGCTGGATCCCAGGGCTGCAGGGATCCTGCTCTCCTGGATCCCAGGGATGGGCTGCAGGGATCCTGCCATGATGAATCCCAGGGCTGCAGGGATCCTGCTCTCCTGGATCCCAGGGATGGGCTGCAGGGATCCTGCCATGATGAATCCCAGGGCTGCAGGGATCCTGCTCTCCTGGATCATACAGGATGGGCTGCAGGGATCCTGCTCCCCTGGAAATCCTGGGATGGGCTCTTGGGATCCTGCCCTGCTGGAAATCCTGGGATGGGATCCTGCCCTGCTGGAAATCCTGGGATGGGCTGCAGGGATCCTGCCCTGATGGATCCCAGGGCTTAAGGGGTCCTGCTCTCCTGGAAATCCTGGGATGGGATCCTGCCCTGCTGGATCCCAGGGCTGCCTGCAGGGCTCCTGCCCGGCTCCGGGCTCCCTCCCACGTTCCCTTGCTGTTCCCGCAGGTTCCTGTTCGGGGAGCGCCCGTACTGGTGGATGCACGAGTCAGGGATGGCTGAGCGGGAGCAGCTCCCCCTGCGCCAGTTCCCGGTCACCTGTGAGACGGGACCAGGTGAGTCCCGGCCCGGGGAGGAGCCCCAAAGGTGTGGGAACGCTGGGCTGGAGGGGGGAAAATCCCCTCCTGAGCACTGGGGAGGGGTTGGGCTGGGCATGGCCAGCTCTGCCCGCAGCCCCCCTGTGCTTCATCCCGCAGGGAGCCCCTCGGGGCACTGCATGATCCTGGGGGCGGCCCTGTGGCCCGTTGTCACCGCCCTGAGCGAGGCAGTGGCCAGGTGCAGCCGGAGGTGAGTGCGGGACGGGCAGGGGCAGCGTCCTGGGCCTCTGTGGGAGCAGGGGAGTGGGATGTGGGGCAGAAGGAGGGGTCCCGGCATGGAGACCCCATCCCTTGGGAGCTTCCAGAGCCCCTGTGGGAAGAGGGGATGGATGCGGGCCCCCCACTCAGTGGACATCACCCATGGAGGGTGATCAGGATGCCTCCCCTGGCACCTCGGGAGGAGGCTGTGAGACCCCTGAACGCCCCCCAGGACCTTTCTTAGCTGTGCTTTCCCCCTTCCCGCCCCGCTGACCCCGTTCCCCCCAGCCGGCTGCTGAGGCTGCTCCCGTTCCTGCTCTACCTCCTCCTGCTGGCGGCCATGGGGCTCTCCCGGATCTTCGTCCTGGCCCATTTCCCCCACCAGGTGATCTCCGGCTCCCTGGCAGGTGAGGGCGGCTCCCGGCCCCTTCCCCATCCCCGCAGCCCCTTCCCAGCCCGGCCCGGTGCCGACCCCGCCTGTCCCCGCGCCAGGGCTGGCTCTGGGCTGGGGGCTGCAGCGCTGGCCCCCCAACTTCCTCAAGGTTCGCTTCTTCCTGCTGACGGCTCTGGGGCTGGTGCTGAGCGCGCTGGCCCTGCACGGGCTGGCCACGGCCGCGGGGCTGGACCTGGACTGGTGAGAGCCCGGGGACAGGGGGGTGACAGGGGGGTCACAGGGGGACAGGGGTGTCACAGGGGACGGGGGGGTCATGGGGGAAAAGGGGTGTGACAGGGGGACAGAAGGGCAGGGGTGTCACAGGAGAAGAGGGATGTCATGGGGGGACAAGAGTGTCACAGGGGAAAGGAGTCTCACAGGGGAAAAGGGGTGTCCTGTGGAAAAAGGGGTGTCACAGGGAGATGGGGGTGTCACGGGGGGACAGAGGTGTCACATGGATCAGCTTCTGGGGTGTCAGGGGGTCCCCCCAGGGATGTGCCCCCAGAACACTTTGGGGAGGGGGCTGCCCCCAGAGCCGTTCCTGAGGGTGTCACACCCCAATCCCTGAGCTGTTTGGGGAGGGGTCACACCTCAATCCCAGAGCAGTTCCTGGGGAGGGGGCTGCCCCCAGACCAGTTCCTGGGGGGGTTCTGCCCCCATAGCCGTTGCTGGGGAGGGGGCACACCCCAATCCCTGCGCTGTTTGGGGAGGGGGCTGCCCCCATACCCATTCCCGGGGTGTCACACCCCAATCCCAGACCCGTTCCCAGGGATGTCACACACACACACACAATCCCATCGCTGTTCCCCGGGGTGTCACACCCCAATCCCAGACCCATTCCGGGGGTGTCACACCCCAATCCCATAGCCATTCCTGGGGTGTCACACCCCAATCCCAGACCCATTCCCGGGGTGTCACACCCCGATCCCAGACCCGTTCCTGAGGTGTCACACCCCGATCCCAGACCCATTCCTGGGGTGTCACACTCTGATCCCAGACCCATTCCCGGGGTGTCACACCCCGATCCCCGCTGTCCCCGCAGGTCCCTCCGCCGGGCGGTTTGGGGAGGGGGCTGCCCCCAGAGCAGTTTGGGGAGGGGGCTGCCCCAGACCCATTCCCGGGGTGTCACACCCCAATCCCAGACCCATTCCTGGGGTGTCACACTCTGATCCCAGACCCATTCCCGGGGTGTCACACCCCGATCCCAGACCCATTCCTGGGGTGTCACACCCCAATCTCAGAGCGGTTCCCATAGCCATTCCCGGGGTGTCACGCCCCAATCCCAGACCCGTTCCCGGGGATGTCACACACACACAATCCCATAGCCATTCCCGGGGTGTCACACCCCGATCCCATAGCCATTCCCGGGGTGTCACACCCCGATCCCCGCAGGTCCCTCCGCCGGGCCAGCTCCCGCTGCTCGGACCCGGCGTGGCTGCGGCCCGAGACGCGGCCCTGGGCCTCGCTGTGCCGGGTGGGCGGCAGCGCGCTGGGCCTGGCCGTGGCCGCCTGGCTGCCCCTGAGCCGCCGCGCCGCCGAGGAGCTGCGGCTGCTGGAGCCGCCGCTGGGCAGCGCCGCGCTGGGGCTGCTGGCGCTCGACGTGCTGCACAAGCTGCCCAAGAGCCACCACACCGCCCTGTGGTACCTGAACGTGGGGGCTCGCTACGCGCTGGGCCCCGTGCTGGTGGGGACCCTGCTGCCCCTGCTCATCCTCACCCTGCGGCGGCTCCGCGAGACCCCCTAGAGCCGCCCTCGGTGTCGGGGAGAGGGGGGGGTCTGCTCCCGGTTCGTCCCCGCCTGTACCGAGGACCCCCGGATTGAGTGGGGGGTGTCTGCTCTGTTCCAGTTCATCCCCACCCTTCCTTTCCTCCAGGACCCCAGATTGAGTGGGGGGTCTGTGCTCTGTTCCCAGTTCATCCTCACCCTCCCTTTCCTCCAGGGACCCTCAAATTGAGTGGGGGGTCTGTGCTCTGTTCCCAGTTCATCCTCACCCTCCCTTTCCTCCAGGGACCCTCAAATTGAGTGGGGGGTCTGTGCTCTGTTCCAGTTCACTCTCACACTCCTTTTCCTCCAGGACCCCAAATTGAGTGGGGGGTCTGTGCTCTGTTCCAGTTCACTCTCACACTCCTTTTCCTCCAGGACCCCAAATTGAGTGGGGGGTCTGTGCTCTGTTCCCAGTTCATCCTCACCCTCCCTTTCCTCCAGGGACCCTCAAATTGAGTGGGGGGTCCCCACTCCTGTGCCAGTTCATCCTCACCTTTCATTTCCTCCAGGACCCCCAGATTGAGTGGGGGGTCTGTGCTCTGTTCCAGTTCACTCTCACACTCCTTCTCCCCAAACTGAGCATTGTCCCAGTTCATGCTCCCCCTCCCCTGCCCCAGGGACCCCCCCCCTCACCCCGGGCAGGGGTCCCTGAGCCCCTCCCCTGCCCCTGGGGGTGCCCAGCGGGGTCTGGGGACACAGCCCAGGGACAGCCCCGGCGCGGGGACACGGAGCTGCCACCCCCTCCCCAGCTGTCCCCACCCCTCTGCAGCAGGGATGGGACCCCCCCCCATGGATGGGACCCCCCCAATGGATGGGACCCCCCCTCAGCCCGGTGCGTGCGGGGCCGCCCCCGTTTGGAATCAAATAAAGCAGCAGAACCGAGCCGGGCCCCGAGTGCTGCGGGGGGACACGGGCTGGGGGGGGGGGGGACAGCAGGGACAGACAGAACCCCCCCAGCCCGGCGGTGACAAAGGGGACGGCCCCTGTTCCCTCCACAGGGAAAGGGACACAGGGACAGGGACACAGGGACAGGAAAAGGGACACAGGGACAGGGAAAGGGACACAGGGACAGGAAAAGGGACACAGGGACAGGGAAAGGGACACAGGGAAAGGGACACAGGGACAGGAAAAGGGACACAGGGACAGGAAAAGGGACACAGGAAAAGGGACACAGGGAAAGGGACACAGGGAAAGGGACACGGGGACAAGGAAAGGGGTACGGGGACAGGAAAAGGGACACAGGGAAAGGGACACAGGGACAGGAAAAGGGACACAGGGAAAGGGACACAGGGACAGGAAAAGGGACACGGGGACAGGGAAAGGGACACGGGGACATGGAAAGGGACACGGGCAGGAAAAGGGACACAGGGATGGGGAAAGGGACAAAGAAAGGGACACAGGGAAAGGGGGACATGAAAAGGGACACAGGGAGAGGGAGGGAACGGGGACCCGGGGACAGGGACACGGGGACATGAAGAGGGACACAAGGACAGGGAAAGGGACACAGGGAAAGGGACACGGGGATAGGGACACAGGGAAAGGACACAGGTACAGGGAAAGGAGACTTGAGGACAGGGCAAGGGACACAGGCACAGGGAAAGGGACACGGGGACAGGGAAAGGGACCCAGGGACAGGGCCCCAGGGCCACCCCAGCCCCCCCAGAGGCACCGGCCCGTGGCTATTGCCAGAAACAGTTTATTTATACAAGGACGAACATCGGTGACATTTTACAAAATACCGAACCGAGACCCAGAGCGAGCGTGAGCGGGGACGGACGGACGGACGGACCGGGGGACACACGGCGGGGCGGGGGACGGGGACACCAGCCCAAAGCAAGCCGGGGGGGGCCGGAGACCCTCATCCCCCCTCCCCAAATCCAGAGGGGCTTTCCTCTCCTGGGATGGGAGGGGGATCCCCACCACACTCGGGGTGTCCCCAAAGTTGGGGACACGCACGATCCCCCCCAAACGCGGGTCCTTCCCCCAGGAGAGGTGACAAGGACACCCTCAGCCCTAATTTGGGACCACTCCAAACCCCCCCCCCCCCCAAAATAATTTAACCCATGACTGTCCCTGTCCCAGCACCCCCCTCCGCCCCCCCCATTAAAAAAATACTATTAAATAATCCATCTGTAATAAAATTATATCCCTTTTTTTGGGGGGGGGTTGGGTGGTTTTCTCTCTTTTAAAGCTAAAATCGCTCCGAGGCCCCTCAGGCTGGTGACAAAACAGGAAAATAAAGTGGTTTTTCCTCTTTTTTTTTGGTTTTTTTTTTTGTTTTGTTTTTCTCTCTTTTTTTTTTTTTGTTTGTTTTTCCCTCTCCTATAAGGATAAATTTGATCCCAACAAAGGGGTGACAAAGTGACAGAGGGGGGGTTTGGGGACAAGGGCTCGTCCCTTTGTCTCCTGTCCCCATCCAAAACGGGGAGGCCGAAGGGGAAACAAAAAAACCCAAGAAAATTAAGAAAAAAACCCAAAATGAAGGGAAATTAAGGCATTAAAAAAAAAAAATACTTACTTAAAGGCACGAATATTTCCCATTGCCTCCCCCAGGGGGGGACAGAGCTGGAGCCAGGGAGGGAACGAGGTGGGGAGACACAAAAATGGGAGGAAAATAAGGAAAAAACCCTAAAAAAAATCTCGAGGAGCCCCAGGGGGGACCTGATGGACACAGGGGACATTTGGGGACACGGGGGGACACAGGGGACAGGGGGTGCTGGTGGAACGCTGCTGCACAAGAGACACGACCGCAAACACCGCGGGGAGCCGGGGGCACAGGACGGGCGGGGGGATTTTTTTGTGTTTTTCTCCTCTTTTTAATAGAAAAAGAAAATATTTTCCTCCTTTTTTTTTTTTTTTTTTTCTGGTTTTCCTTTCGATTTTTCTGCCTTTTTTTTTTTTTTTGTCTTTTTTTTTTTTTTAGTGTTTTTTTTTTTTGTGTGTGTGTGTTTGGATTTTTTTTTTTTTCCTTTTACTGTGATTTTTTTTTTTTTTTCCTTTGTGTGTTTTTCATCTCTTCCAGGTGTTCCTTGGTCAGAGCGTGGGCTCGGCCTCCATGGGCTCCTCCGCTGGCCTGGGCAGGGCAGGGACAAGTGGCTGTCACCCCCCATGGGGACATGTGTCACACCCCCAGTGTCACACCTGGCTCCATTCACACCCCCATGTCCCCCTGCTGTCACACCTGGCTCCATTCGTACCCCTCAGTGTCCCCCAGTGTCACATCCCCCCATGTCCCATTGTCACACAGCCCTGTGTCCCCCCTCTGTCCCTCTGTGTCCCCCATTGTCACACACTACTCCCCTTGTCCCTCAGTGTCCCACCCTCCCCATGTCCCTTGTGTCCCCCATGGGCCCCTGGTGTCACACCTGGCTCCATTCACCCCCCCGTGTCCCCTATTGTCCCCTATTGTCACAGACCCCCCCTTGTCCCCCATTGTCACACACCCTCCGTGTCCCCTGTGTCTCCCCCATGTCACACCTGGCTCCATTCACCCTGCCCCGTGTCCCCCCATGTCCCCCATTGTCACACACCCCGTTGGTCCCTCAGTGTTCCCCATTGTCACACACCCCGTTTGTCCCTCAGTGTCCCCCTGTGTCCCCCGTTGTCACACACCCCGTTTGTCCCTCAGTGTCCCCGGGCCGTACCTGGCCTGTGGCTCCGTCCTGCCGTGCTCAGCCCCCACGGACAGCAGGGCCATGGCTGTCACCGTCTCGGCCTCCTCGGTGTCCCCGCGCTGCGCCTCCAGCAGGGACCGGCCCACGGCGGCGGCAAAGCGCCGGACAGAGCCCCAGTGCCGGCCTGGGGACAGGGACAGGGCTGGCACCGAGTGGGCACTGATCCCCTGTGACAGAGCCCCAGTGCCGGCCTGGGGACAGGGACAGGGACAGGGACAGGGCTGGCACTGAGCGGGCACTGATCCTCTGTGACAGAGCCCCAGTGCCGGCCTGGGGACAGGGACAGGGACAGGGACAGGGCTGGCACTGAGCGGGCACTGATCCTCTGTGACAGAGCCCCAGTGCCGGCCTGGGGACAGGGACAGGGACAGGGCTGGCACTGAGCGGGCACTGATCCCCTGTGACAGAGCCCCAGTGCCGGCCTGGGGACAGGGACAGGGACAGGGCTGGCACCGAGCGGGCACTGATCCCCTGTGACAGAGCCCCAGTGCCGGCCTGGGGACAGGGACAGGGACAGGGCTGGCACCGAGTGGGCACTGATCCCCTGTGACAGAACCCCAGTGCCGGCCTGGGGACAGGGACAGGGACGGGGACAGGGCTGGCACCGAGCGGGCACTGAGCCCCTGTGACAGAGCCCCAGTGCCGGCCTGGGGACAGGGACAGGGACAGGGCTGGTACCGAGTGGGCACTGATCCCCTGTGACAGAGCTCCAGTGCCGGCCTGGGGACAGGGACAGGGACAGGGACAGGGACAGGGCTGGCACCGAGTGGGCACTGATCCCCTGTGACAGAGCCCCAGTGCCGGCCTGGGGACAGGGACAGGGACAGGGCTGGCACCGAGCGGGCACTGAGCCCCTGTGACAGAGCCCCAGTGCCGGCCTGGGGACAGGGACAGGGCTGGCACCGAGTGGGCACTGATCCCCTGTGACAGAGCTCCAGTGCCGGCCTGGGGACAGGGACAGGGCTGGCACCAAGCAGGCAGTGACACCTGTGTCCCCTTGTGTCCTCTCCATGACAGAACCAGACCCAGGGACCCCTTGGGGACCTCCCGTGTCCCCCCAAGTCCCCCCCCCAGTGACAGACCCGGCCCCAGGGACCCCTCGGGGACCTCCCGTGCCCCCGTCCTCACTCTGGATCTCGATGACCTTCTCCAGCGTGGCCACCGCGTTGACGTTGGGCTTCTGCTGCAGCAGGGCTGGGTCCAGGGGCTCCAGCTGAGGGGGGGACACCTTGTCAGACCCCCAAAAGTGCCACCAGCATCCTCAGACTGCCACCAGCACCCCCAAAGCCACGGCAGAGACGAAACCAGAGCCCCTCGCCACCCAACGAGGGGAAACTGAGGCACGACACGGGGCGTGCGCCCCAGCACGCCCCCAGGGAAGGGCTGGGGGGCTCGGGGGTCCCTCAGGGGTGTCCCCCCGTACCTCGAGGCCCAGCAGGGCGGTGACACAGGCCTCGGAGGCGTCGCAGATGGCCGTCAGGTCGTGTCCCCCCTCCAGCGCCAGCACCACCCGGCCGCCCGCCAGCATCATCAGCTGCTTGGTCAGGTGCCCGAAACCTGGGGGGGGCCACAGGGTGAGGGGTGCCAGGGCAGGGGTCCCACCCCCAGAATGCCCCCAGACCCCCACTCACACTTGGCGGTCACGGAGTAGCCACCGAGAGGGGACAGGTGGCCCTCGACGGCGTCGAAGCCGGCGGAGACCAGCACCAGGTCCGGGGAGAACTCCTTGGCAATGGGCATCACCACCGTCCTGGGGGGGCAGCGGCGGCTCGGGACCCCCCCCCAGCGCTGGGGGAGCCCCCCGGGAGGGCAGGGACACCCCCCAGGACATGGGGAGCCCCACAGGGAGCAGGGACACCCCGAGGTGAGCAGGGACCCCCCCAGGGTGAGCAGGGACCCCCCCAGGGTGTGCAGGGATCCCCCCCAAAGTGTGCAAGGACCCTCCCAGGATCCAGAGGATCCCCTGATGCAGGGACCCCTCCCCACTGCACAGAGACCCTTCCCCAAGGACACAGGGACCCCTCCCATAGCACTGACCCACCCCAAGGGCTCAGGAACCCACCAATGGCTCAGAAACCCCCCAGGGGCTCAGGACCCCCCCAGGACAGGGGAATTCCCCAAGACAGAGCCCCTCCAAGGGCTCAGGAACCCCCCCAAAGGCTCAGGACCCCCCCAGCACCCAGGGACCCCTCGTATAGAACAGAGCCCCCCAAGTGGTTCAGGACCCCCCCCAGGGGCTCAGGAACCCCCCCAGCACAGCAGAGCCCCCCCATAGCCATGGGGCCCCCCCAGGCGCAGCCCCCCCACCTGAAGGCCGTCAGGTACTCCACGTCCCCGATCGGGGGGTCCACGCCGCCGGTCCAGGCGATGTTGATGTTGTAGCCCACGCCCAGCCCGCTGCCCACCTGGGCACAGCCATTGGTGACCCCCCGTGCCTCAGGGGGGCACGGAGGGACCCCCCCCCCCACACCCCAAAACCCCCCCGGTACCTCCTCGGGGGCGCCGCTGCCCGGGAAGAAGTTGCCGTCGTCGTAGCGGTGCAGGGAGATGTAGAGCACGTGCGGGTCGCTGTAGAAGGCCTGCTGGGTCCCGTTGCCGTGGTGGATGTCCTGGGGGGACACCCGGGGGTCAGGGACACCCCCACGGCCACCCCCGAGGCCTGCGGGGTCCCCCCTGTGCCCCCCTTACCCAGTCCACGATGAGGATCCTGCCCACGCTGAGCCGCTGCTGCAGCAGCTTGGCCGAGATGGCCACGGAGTTGAAGAAGCAAAAGCCCCTGGGGACAAGGGACAAGGGACGTCAGTGCAGGGGTGGCACTGGGCAGGGGGTGGCCCTGGGTGAGGGTCCCAGCCCGTCCCTGTACTCACATGGCCGTGGACTCCTCGGCGTGGTGGCCTGGGGGGCGGATGACAGCGAAGCCGTTCTGGGGGACACAGAGGGACATGTGTGTGTGACACAGACACGTGTGGCACTGGGACACAACTGGGACAGAAGGACATGAATGGGACACAGAGGGACATGTGCGTGACACAGAGACATGTGTGGCACTGGGACACAACTGGGACACAGGGACATCCATGGGACAGAGAGGGACACAGGTGGGACACAGAGGGACATGTGTGTGTGACACAGAGACACGTGTGGCATTGGGGCACAACTGGGACACAGGGACACACACAGGAGAGGGACACAGGTGGGACACAGAGGGACATGTGTGTGTGACACAGACACGTGTGGCACTGGGGCACAACTGGGACACAGGGACATCCATGGGACAGAGAGGGACACGTGTGTGTGTGACACAGACATGTGTGGCATTGGGGCACAGCTGGGACACAGGGACACGGGTGGGACACACAGGGATGTGTGTGTGACACAGACACGTGTGGCATTGGGGCAGAACTGGGACACAGGGACACACATGGGACAGAGAGGGACACAGAGATCTGTGTGTGTGAAACAGAGACACATGTTGCATTGGGGACAACTGGGACAGAGGGACATGGGTGGGACACAGAGGGACATGTGTGTGTGACAGAGACATGTGTGGCACTGGGGCACAACTGGGACACAGGGACACGGGTGGGGCACAGAGGGATCTGTGTGTGACATAGAGACAACTGGGACAGAGGGACATGCATGGGACAGAGAGGGACATGGTTGGGACACAGAGGGATGTGTGTGTGACACAGACACGAGTGGCATTGGGGCATGACTGGGACAGAGTGACACACATAGGACAGAGAGGGACATGGATGGCACACAGAGGGATGTGTGTGACAGAGACATGTGTGGCACTGGGGCACAACTGGGACACAGGGACATCCATGGGACAGGGAGGGACATGTGTGAGACACAGAGGGATGTGTGCGTGTGACACAGAGGGATGTGTGTGACACAGACACGTGTGGCATTGGGGCACAACTGGGACACAGGGACATCCATGGGACAGAGAGGGACATGGATGGCACACAGAGGGATGTGTGTGACAGAGACATGTGTGGCACTGGGGCACAACTGGGACACAGGGACACACACGGGACAGGGAGGGACACGTGCAGGCAGGCAGGGTGACAGGGTGACAGTGCCACCCGCTCACCTTGACCTCCCCTGCGGCCACCTTGAAGGCCAGCTCGAGCAGGCAGCCCACGGCCGTGCGCACGGCGCTGGACGAGTGCAGCTCGTTCCACACCGTGTCACTGTCCACCTGCGGGGACACCGGGGGTCACAGGGGCACGGCCACCCCGGGGACACCCCCAGGCCCGCCCCACACTCACCCCGATGCCCCCGCACGGCAGCACCGCGTACGTCTTCGGAGTGATGGGACCTGCGGGGACAAGGGGTCATGGGGACAAGGGGACACAGGGACGCCGTGGGGTAAGGGGACCTCTGAGCACCCCAAGGGATTGGGAACGCCAGGGGATGGGGGATCCCATGGGAAAAGGGCACCCCAAGGGATTGGGAACCCCAGGGATGGGGGATCCCACGGGAAAAGGGCACCCCAAGGGATTGGGAACCCCAGGGATGGGGGATCCCATGGGAAAAGGGCACCCCAAGGGATTGGGAACCCCAGGGATGGGGGATCCCACGGGAAAAGGGCACCCCAAGGGATTGGGAACCCCAGGGATGGGGAATCCCATGGGAAAAGGGCACCCCAAGGGATTGGGAACCCCAGGGATGGGGGATCCCATGGGAAAAGGGCACCCCAAGGGATTGGGAACCCCAGGGATGGGGAATCCCATGGGACAGGAGGAACCCCAGGCATCCCAAGGGATGGGGGAGCCCCAAGGGACAGGGGTATCCCATGGGAAAAGGGCACCCTTGGGCACCCCAAGGGATTGGGAATGCCAGGGGACAAGGAGCCAACGGGACAGGCTGTGGGACAGGAGGAACCCCAGGCACCCCAAAGGACTGGGAATCCCAGGGGACACGGTGATCCCATGGGAAAAGGGGACCCCAAGGGATTGGGAATGCCAGGGGACAAGGAGCCTGTGGGATGGGAGAACCCTGGGCACCCCAAGGGATGGGGAAACCCCAGGGGACAGGGGGATCCCACGGGAAAACAGCAAACTTGGGCACCCCAAGGAATTGGGAACACCAGGGGACATAGGGACAGAGGGATCCCATGTGACAGGAGGAACCCCAGACACCCCAAGGGATTGGGAACCCCAGGGGACAGAGGGATCCCATGGGACCCCTGAACACCCCAAGGACTGGAACCCCCCATGGGACACGGACTCTCCTGGAGATGGAGACCCACAGGGCACAGAGGGATCACAAGGAACAGGGCACCAAGGTGACCCCAGCCCCAGAGAGGGGGATCCCCGGCATTGGGGGGCCCCCCAGCACGCACCCAGCAGCTTTTTGCTGTCCAGTTTCTGGCGGTTCAGCGGGCTGGTGCCGTAGAGCAGCGCGTGGTGCTCCGAGTGCACCGTCTGGATCTCCTCCAGCGTCGCCTTCCTGCCCCGGATCCGCTGGGGAGGGGCACAGGCTGAGCCCCCCGGGCTCCCCACGCCATCCTGACCCCCCCCAGGACACGGGGACCCCCCCTCACCTCACACTTGCCCAGCAGCCCCGTCTCCTGCAGCCGGGACCAGATGCTCTGGATGCGGCCGGCGTGCTCGGGGTGGATGGTGGTGTTGCCGCAGGTGCACTGGTGCTTCAGCATGAACGTGTCGTACACCACACCTGGCACGGCACAGCTGGCACAGCTGGCACCCCCGGACGCCCCCGGGGGAAGGGGGATCCCGGGGGTACAGGGATCCCTGGGCACCCCAAAGCGTGGGGAAGCCCCACGGGATGGGGGACAACAGGCACCCCCAGGTACTGGGAACCCCAGGGGACAGAGGGATCTTATGGTGTAGGGGGACCCCAGAACATTCCAAAGCATTGGGAATCCAGGGACAGAGGGATCCTATGGTGTAGGGGGACCCCAGAACATTCCAAAGCATTGGGAATCCAGGGACAGAGGGATCCTATGGTGTAGGGGGACCCCAGAACATTCCAAAGCATTGGGAATCCAGGGACAGAGGGATCCTGTGGCACAAGGGGACCCCAGGATATTCAAAATATTGGGAACCCCAGAGGACAGAGGGATCCTATGAGGCAGGGGGACTCCAGGGGACAGAGGGATCCTGTGGAGTTGGGGGACCCCTGGGATTGGGATTGGGAACCCGAGGAAAGAAGGGAACCCCACAGGAGAGGAACACCCGCAGCCCCACCACAGAAATGCACCCTCGGTGGGGGGACACAGCCATCCCTGCCCCTCCCATGGGACAGGACCCCCCCCAAATCCCAGCACCCCAGAGCACAGGGACCCCCCCACCCCCCAGTACCATACCTGTGGTGAAGAGGTGCTTGGGGGGCCCCTCGGGCTGGGGGGGTTTCACGCTGGCCGGGGACGATTGTGTGCGGGCGAGGGCGGCGTGGGGCACAGCCAGGACCCCCAGGGGGGGCGCGGGGAAGAGCTGCAGCGGCGCCTCGGGGTACACCTGGCGAGGGGAGGGGGCGGCTGACTCACCGAGGGGGGGTCACGGCGTGGGGGTGGCAGGGACAGGGGACACGGGGGGGGGGGGGGGGATGAGTCACCGACCCTCGCGAGTCATCGCTGCAGCGGCTGCAGCGTCCCCAAAACGGGGAGGGGGGACACACACGACATGGCTGTGGGGGTGCTGGAGCTGGGGTTTGGGGGGATTCAGGGAGCTGGGGGGGGGTTGTTGGGTGCCCCCCCCAAAGTCTCACCTGCTTGTAGGTGACCCCCAGCTCGGTGACGTCGGGGTCCCCAGGGGCCTCGTCCCCGCTGTCCCCCGGCTCCTGGCAGCCCTGGGGCTCCTGGGGCTGCTCCGGGGGGTCCCCGGCCTCCGGGGACACCAGGGCGATGGGGGGGCCGAGGGGGGGGCCCCTGTCCCCCGGGGGGGGCGATTGCTGCTCCGTCAGCTCCTCCTCCGTCTCCTCGGGGTGCGTGGGGGGCTGCCGTGCCAGCTCCGCCCCCTTGGGGAGCAGCTGGGGGGCACCGGGGTTAACTGAGCCCCCCACACGCTGTACCTGCCCCATGCCCACCCCACGGCCCCCCTGTGCCCCACAGCCACCCAGTACCCACCCCACACCCATCCCACACCCCAGTCACCCCACAGACCTTTGTCCCGCCATTCCCCAGTTTCCCACCCTGTGCCTCAGTTTCCCCCGCTCGCACTGCTCCTCCTGTTGTATTATGGGGTCAGTGGTGCCCCAAAGCCCCCCAGCACCCACCCCACACTCCCCCCACGCCCACCTTGGCCAGCTGGAGCTGCTGCTTGTCCAGGAAGTGCTGCTGGAGGGGCCCGTGGGGCAGCGCCTGGGGGCTCTGGGGCAGGGGCGAGGACTGCGTGCGGCTCAGGGGCCGGTGGTGCCGCGGCAGCTTGCTGCCCCCCCCGCGGGCAGCCCCGGCCCGCTCTGCCGCCACCAGCGGGGACTGCCCGTGCAGGGGCACTGCGGGGACACGGGGACACCGTTCAGAGCCACCCCGAGCGCCCCGGAACCCCACAAAGCCCCCCTGCCACCAGCGGGGACTGCCCGTGCAGGGGCACTGCGGGGACATGGGGACACTGTCAGAGCCACCCCAAGCCCCTCAAAACCCCCCCAATCCACCCCTGCCACCAGCGGGGACTGCTCGTGCAGGGGCACTAAAGGGACATGGGGACATCGGGTCAGAGCCACCCCCAGCCCCACAGAGCCCCCCGATCCACCTCCCGTTACCAGCGAGGACTGCTCGTGCAGGGGCACTAAAGGGACACGGGGACATCGGGTCAGAGCCACCCCAAGTGCCCCGGAACCCCACAGAGCCCCCCTGTCACCAGCGGGGACTGCCCGTGCAGGGGCACTGCGGGGACACAGGGACACCGGGTCAGAGCCACCCCGAGCCCTCCAGAGCCCCCCGATCCACCCCTGTCACTAGCAGGGACACTAAGGGGACATGGGGACATGGAGTCAGAGCCACCCCGAGCTCTCCAGAGCCCCCCGATCCACCCCTGTCACTAGCAGGGACTGCCCGTGCAGGGGCACTAAGGGGACATGGGGACAGTGGGTCACAGCCACCCCGGCCCCCCCCAAGCGCTGGGGAAATGCAGGATAAACTGGGGGAACTGGGCAGGACTGGGGGGAAAACGGGGTCAAACTGGGGGGAAAATGGGGTCAAACTGGGGGGAAGATGGGGGCAAATTGGGGAAGTACTGGGGGGCAATAAGGGGGACACTGAGGGGACACTCAGAGGGGATCAGGGGGACACCGAGAAAGGAGCAGCGGGACACTGAGGGGGAGATTATGGGGACATTGAGGGGGGTATTGGGGGGACATTGAGGGAGGGAGCAGGGGGACACCGAGAAGGGATCAGGGGGACACTGAGGGGGGGGAATTATAGGGACATTGAGGGAGGGGTTGGGGGAACACTGAGGGGAGACTGAGAATGCATCAGGGAGACACTGAGGGAGGAGCAGGGGGACACTGAGGGGACACCAAGGAGGGATCAGGGGGACACTGAGGGGACACCGAGGAGGGATCAGGGAGACACGAGACACCAAGTGGGGACCAGGGGGACACTGAGGGGACACCGAGGAGGGATCAGGGAGACACGAGACACCAAGTGGGGACCAGGGGGACACTGAGGGGACACCGAGGGGACACGCAGCAGGCGCTTGGGGCTCACCAGCAATGAGGGTGCTCTGCTGCCGCGCCTGCTCCAGCAGCAGCACGTGCTGCAGCAGGGACGGGGACCCGCTGGGGGCGTCCCCCCCGTCCAGGGCCACCCCCAGCAGGCAGCCCGGGATCGAGGACGTGCTCAGGAACTTCCCGGTGAGGGCGGCCCCGGCGCGCAGCGGGGACACCCCCGGGGGCACCCCCGGCCGCTCGCCCTCCGCCTGCGGCGACAGCTTGGGGGACACCTGCGGGGACAGCGGTGACACCGGGGGTGCCCGTGTCACCCCAGGGCTGCCAGGGCCCTGTGCCACCCCTGTGGGGTCCCCGTGCCACCCCTGTGGGGTCCCCACATTCCTGCTGCAGGGTGCCAGACCTCCCATGCCACTCCCCACTGCATCCCCATATCCCCCCCCCGTGGAGTTCCATGTCCCAGTGCCACCCGCCACAGTGTCCCCATGTCCCCATGGGTCCCTTATGTTCCCTCTGTGGAGTTCCAGGTCCCTGTGGGGTTCCCATGTCCCCCCAGCCAAGCCCCAGTGCCACCCAGCCCGGGATCCCCAGTGCCACCCAGCCCAGGGTCCCGGTGCCACCCAGCCCGGGGTCCCAGTGTCCCCACTCACGGGGAGGTGGGCGCTGGTGACGGTGACAGTGGCCTGCAGCCCCAGGGACAGGTTGGGCAGCGATGGGGACGTGTAGAGGCTGAGCTGGGCCCCGTCCAGGGCCAGGGCGCGGGGCTGGGGCAGGAGCTGCTGTGGCACCACATGGCAAAGGTGGCATCAACACCCGAGGGTGACACGACAGGACAGGACAGACAGGACACCAACACATGTGGGGACAGAACATCAACACGTGTGGGAACGTGACACCACCGACACGTGTAGGGACACGACATGCCACCAACATGTGTGGGGACAGGACAGCACTGACACCCTCCCAGCCCCCCGCGTGTCCCTGTCCCCGTCCCTGTCCCCACGGGGCCGTACCTCGCTGTGGATGTTGGGGACAGAGGCGGCCAGGCCGTTGTGGGCACCGTGGGAGCTGTTGGGGGAGCTGGGCCCCGACCCGGGGGCGCTGCTGCAGACTGATGACACTGCGGGGGACACGGGTGTCACACGGGCATGGGGACACAGGTGTGTCACACAGACACCGCCCTGTGTCACACGGGCATGGGGACACTGCCCTGTGTCACATACAGACGCTGCGGGGGACATGGGTGTCACACAGGCATGGGGACAGTGCTCTGCGCCACATGGGCATGGAGACACACGTGTGTCACACAGACATGGGGACACTGCTCCGTGTCATACTGACACTGTGGGGGACATGGCTGTCACACGGGCACGGGGACACTGCTCCATGTCACAGGGGCACAGGGACACTGCCCTCTGTCTCACAGGTGTGGGGACACCGCCCGGCGTCACACAGTGTATCACACCTTGACACTGCCCCGTGTCACACAGATACTGTGGGACACACGTGTGTCACAAGGACATGGGGACACTGCCTTGTGTCACACAGACACTGCAGGACATGTGCGTGTCACACGGGCACAGGGACACTTGCCCTCTGTCACACAGTGTGTCACACCCTGACACCTCACATGTGTCACCCCAGCACGAGAGGCCACGGGGGCTCTGAGCCCAGCCTGTGTCCCCGCAGTGTCCCCACTGTCCCCAGTGTCCCCAGCACGCACCGGTGATCTCCACGTGGCGCTTGCGGAAGGCGCTGAGCACGGAGCCGTCGCGGCGCCGCAGGAGGGGGCTGCTCCTCCGCTCCGCCACCTTCTGCTTCAGCCGCGAGCGCACCTTCAGGTTGGGCTCGGACGCTGGGGGCACAAAGGTGTCACCACCACCACGAGTGTCACCACCACCACGAGTGTCACCGTGTCACCCCCGCGGCGATGCCGCCACCACCCACCGGTTTTGCGGAGCGGGAAATCGTCCCGGCCGTCGTAGGTGCCGAGGAGGGGGAGCTTGTAGGACGGGGGGGTCCCCGGGCTGCCGGTCTGCGGGGGGGAACTCTGGTCCAACGAGGTGTGGTGAGCCCTGGAGAGGGGGGGGAAGATGGCAGAGACCCCGCTGGGACACCCGTGTCACCCCCAGGGTGGCTCAGGGGGGTCCTGGAGGGCTCGGGGGGCACCTACCAACATTTGGGGTGCTGGGGGAGGGAATGGTTGGGGGGGCCGGGGCCCGGCTCCTTCGTCTTGCTGAGCAGGAATTCCTGGAGCTTCAGCTTCACCTCCGTGCTGGCGATGGCGCCTGGGGGCACGGGGGGGTCAGAGGGGCAGCACGGGGGGGTCAGGGGGGCAGCACAGCCCCCACATCCCCCCCCCAGCCCCCCACTCACTGTCCCGGCCCCGCTCCTTGGGGCGCAGGCTCTGCAGCTGCTCCAGGCGCTGCTGCTCCAGCTCCTGCCGCTCCCGCTGCCGCTGCTGCTCCAGCTCCTGCTGCCGCCGGGCTGCCAGGGCCTCCTGCTGCTGCTGTGGGGAGGGGGCGCCGCCATGGGACCCCGGGCACGGCCCCGGGCCCTCCCTGAGCCCCCGGCCCCGAATGGGGCGCTGGAACCCCCAGTGTGCCCAACAGTGGCTCCCTCACCCTCCATCAGTGACACCCCACGGCTCCATCACTCCCTGTATCCCCCCCAAAGGCTCCATCAGCCCCAATATCCCACCCCATAACTCCATCACTCCCTGTATCCCACCCAAAGGCTCCATCAGCCCCAATATCCCACCCCATAACTCCATCACTCCCTGTATCCCACCCAAAGGCTCCATCAGCCCCAATATCCCACCCCATAACTCCATCACTCCCTGTATCCCCCCCAAAGGCTCCATCAGCCCCAATATCCCGCCCCATAACTCCATCACTCCCTGTATCCCACCCAATGGCTCCATCCCCCCCCATATTCCTCCCCAATACCTGTCCAAAAGCCCCATCTCCCCCCAAAACTGGTGACACCCCACAGCTCCATCATTCCCAGTGCCCCTCCAAAAGCCCCAACTCTCCCAAGACTGGTGACACCCCACATCTCCATCATTCCCAATATCCCTCCAAAAGCCCCATTTCACCCCAAAACTGGTGACACCCCACATCTCCATCATTCCCAATATCCCTCCAAAAGCCCCATTTCACCCCAAAACTGGTGACACCCCACATCTCCATCATCCCCAGCATCCCCCCAAAGTGACTGACACCCCACATCCCCATCATCCCCAGTATCCCTCTCCCCATTTCCATCCCCCCAGACTGGTGACACCCCACATCTCCATCATTCCCAATATCCCTCCAAAAGCCCCATTTCACCCCAAAACTGGTGATACCCCACATCTCCATCATCCCCAATATCCCTCCAAAAGCCCCATTTCACCCCAAAACTGGTGACACCCCACATCTCCATCATTCCCAAAATCCCTCCAAAAGCCCCATTTCACCCCAAAACTGGTGACACCCCACATCTCCATCATTCCCAAAATCCCTCCAAAAGCCCCATTTCACCCCAAAACTGGTGACAACCCACATCTCCATCCTCCCCAGTGCTCCTCCAAAAGTGACTGACACCCCACATCCCCATCATCCCCAGCATCCCCCCAAACTGGTGACACCCCACATCCCCATCCGCCCCAGTATCCCTCTCCCCATTTCCATCCCCCCCAATGGGTGACACCCCCCATCTCCATCCCCCCAGATCCCCACACCCCCAATCCCCCCTCCCCAGCCCCATCCACGCCCCCCCCCCCCCCTCAACCCACCTTGAGGTGCTTCTGGAGCTGCACCTGGTGCTGGCGGGTGAGGTGCTCGTGCTGCTTCTGGAACTCGGCGAAGAGCAGCTGCTTCTGGAGCTGCTGCTGCTGCTTCAGGGCCACCAGCTCCCGCTGCAGCTGCTGCTCCCGCGCCGCCGCCAGCCCCGCGTCCACCCCCGCCTCGGGCCCCGGGCCCTCCGGCCCCTCCGGCCCCGCCGGACACGCTGGGAGGGAGAAAACGGGATGGGGACAGCCCGGCAGGGATGGAGGGGGCTGGGAGGGGTTCGAGGGGCAGCTTTGGGGCGAGCTCAGAGTGGTTTGGGGGTGTCCCGGGGGTGATGGTTTGGGGAGGTGTTCCAAGGATGGGGGGGGGGGGTCAGTGGTGGTTTGGGGGCGTCAAGGAAGCTCTCAGGGGTCTCCCCCAAGCCCCATCCCCCTGCATCGACCCCCACAAAAAATAAAACGGGGGGTGCCCCCCACCCAATGCAAACCCCTCCATCTCCATGGGGACACGCTGGGTCGGGGGGCAAACGGGATGGGGACAGCCCGGGAGGGATGGAGGGGGCTGGCAGGGGTTCGAGGGGCAGCTTTGGGGCGAGCTCAGAGTGGTTTGGGGGTGTCCCGGGGCTGATGTCTGGGGGGGGTGGGACTCATTGAAGGGGGGGTCAGTGGTGGTTTGGGGTGGGTTCTGGGGGTTGGGGGTGTCAAGGAAGCTCTCGGGGGTCTCCCCCAGCCCCATCAACCTGGATAAACCCCTACCTCACTTAACCCCCCCAAAATAAAACGGGGGAGCCCCCACCCAATCCAAACCCTCCATCTGCAGCACACACCGACCCCCCCTCCACAAATACCCCCCCCCAAAATCCCCCACACACCCACCGAGGGGGGGGGGGGGCACGGACAGGGAGGGGTGGGACACGCAGGATGGGGGGGGGGGGGGGCGGCCCCACGCACACAGGAAGGCGGGGGCGGGCAATGGGGGGGGGGGGGGGGGCACGCGGTGCATGTCAATGAGCGCCCCCCCCCAGCCCAGCCCCCTCCCCCGGGCACTGACGGGCACTGACGTGTCCCCGCGCGGACCCACGGACGTCACCGGGCACGGAGCGGGGGCACGGACCCCCCTCCCCCCAAGGACAGACAGACCCCCCCCAGGACAGACAGAACCCCCCAAGGATCACAGAGCCCCCCAGGAGAAGCAGCACCCCCATATCCCATAAAGCCCCCCCAGTGCAATCCCGGGGTTTGCTTTTCCCACGGGTATTTGGGGGTACACTGGGGTGCTCCTGCAGCCCCCCCAAAAAGAGCCAGACCCCCCCCAGGAGAAGCAGCACCCCAATATCCCGACCACCCCCAGCCCCATCCAGCCCCAGGGTTTGGCTCTCCCGGGGGTATTTGGGGGTACACTGGGGTCCTCCTGCCCCCCCCCCAAAACAGGGGCCCCCAAATGCCCCCGTGGGAAATCGGGGTGCAATGGGGGGGTCTCAGCACCCTGCCCCGAGGTGCCAAGGGGGCACTGTGGGGTCAGTGGGGGCTTTGGGGGGGGGGGGCACAGCCCCACCTGCGTCCCCCCTGAGGGACACGGGGGTTTAACCCCTTGCTGCCCGGGGCCCCCCAAACAGAGAGGTCCCTGTGGGCACAATGGGGGTGTCCCACGGAATGGGGACACGGGGGCAGCACCCCCAGGGCTGCAGCACCTGTCCTTGCACACCTGTCCTTGCACACGCATTTGTGCAAAGGGGGAACTCTTCCTCTTACACACCTGAACAGCAACTCCCCCCTTGCACACCTTTGGGGGTGTCACCGGGTTTGGGGCGGTGTCACCAGGTTTTGGGGGCCGTGTGACTGGGTTTGGGGGGGCATCACTGGATTTTGGGGTGGTGTCACCGGGTTTTGGGGGCCATCACCGGGTATGGGATGGTCTCACCGGGTTTTGGGGGACACGGGGGGCCGTCCCCACTCACCTGGGGCGGGCAGGGCAGCGTGCAGGGGGACACGGGGCAGCAGCTCCAGCGGGGGCTCGCGGCCGGACCCACCCTCTGCAGAGAGACACCCGGGACCCCCTGAAGGGCTGGGAACTGGGGGGGGCCACCTGCACCCCCAAACCCAACCGCAGCCCCCCAGATCCCTCCCCGGCGGGTGGGGCTGGGGGGGTCACAGAGCATCCCTGGGTTTTGGGGTGACGGGAGCCAATGCAGCCCCCCCAGTGCAGGCAGGGCAGGGCCGAGGGGCCCCCCCTCACCCACGCCCCCCCCCCCAAATCCAGGCTATTCTCTGTGGCGCCTGGAAATAGCCGGCCACAGCACGGGAGGAGCCGGCTATAAATAGGGAATTGTGCCGGGGGGGCCACGGCAGATCCCGCTCTGTCCCTGCCCCCCCAGACCCCGCTGCACCCCAGAACTGCCCCGGGGGCTGGGGGGGGCACGGGCTGCCCTGCCTGGGGGGGTTTGGGGGTCCCCAGGACCCTCCAGCTCCATGGCACCCCACACATCCCGCTAATTACCAGGGACGTTAATCCACGTTAATCAGCGCTGCCGGAACCAAAGCTGGGATGTGCCGAGGGGGGGATTAACCCCATTTTGAGAACGTGAAGGCCGAGGGACCCCCCCCATCCCACTGCAGACGCCCAACAGGACCCCCCGAGAGGGGCTGGGTGGGGGGCACAGCTGCCAGCCCAGCACATTCCCCAATGGATCGCTGTCCCCAAGCGGCTCTGCAGGGACAATCCTGAGCGGGACGGGGGTGACACCGTGCTGGGGTGTGGAATCCCCCCCTTTTCACCCACGGGGACCCCCCCCCAATGGCGCCCAGACCGTGCGTAACCCCCCCCTTCGGCAGGCAGCGCCACGTTTATTTACCAGGCGTTAATCCCGAGCCAAGCCTTTTAATAGCCCGGGATATTTCTGGGACACCCCGCGCCCCCCCCCGCTGCCCCCCCCCGGGGTGCTTCGGGCCTTGACGTCAGCCCGGTTATTTCTGGTGCTGCCGGCGGCCGGGAGGCCGCGGGAACGGCACCGGCACCGGCAACGGGCCCGCCCGGCTCCCGGACCCCTTCCCGGGGCTGCACCCCAAACCCCACCCGGGCTCCTCTCCCGGCTCCCACGGCAGGGCACAGGGGGGCCGGAGCTGCAGAGCCCCCCCAGAGGTGGTGGCACACATGGGGGACCCTCGGGGGTGTTGGGGACAGCACTGGGGACCCCCAGAACTCCGGGAGGGAGAGGGGTGCACCCTGAGATGGGACCAGCACCCATGGGACCCCCCCGGTTCTGGGATGGGGCTGGGAAAAGGAGCGCCGGGGGGGTCACGGAGCATCCAGGGGGTGATTGGGGACCCCCAGGGGCCCATTGGGGACCCCCAGGGGTTGGATGGGGACCACTGAGCACAGCGGTGGCCTCTGCCACATCCCCTTTGTCCCCCAGCCCGGCACCCCCGAGGGGTCCCCAAACCCCCTCAGACAGCCCCAAAGGCGGGAGGGGACCCCGAATAAAGCGCCCGGGGATGGCACAGGTGGCCCGGCCGTGTCCCCGTGCCACCGCGCCGCGTGCCAGCCCCGTGCCAGGCACGGCCGGGCCGCGCTCCAGCAATACCGGCGGGGACCCGGGGGGGGTGGCCGGGGACAGAGGGGACACACGGCCCCCTCCCCGTGCCTCAGTTTCCCCCGCGGTGTCGGCGCTGCCGCGTGTCCCCTCGGGGCGGCAGGGAGGGGACACCAGCGCGCCCAGATGTCGCCGGAGCTCCCCCCGGGATAATTACAGGGCGGGACAGCGCGGGCACGGCCCCGGCGGCCAGCACGGCTGGCTGTCCCTGTCCCCACGCGTGGCACCCCTGGGGGGCCGCGGGGTCCCGCCCCCGGTGCCATAAAGAGCCACGTGTGAGCCGCGCCACGACGGGGCCGTGCCTCAGTTTCCCCTCCCAGCGGGGCGGCGGCGGCACGGGCTGGGATAACCGGGACAGGGGGTGCCCCCCGGTACCCCCGTTTGGGTTGGATGTGCCCCAGTGGGCGGAACGCTGGTGCCCCCCGGTACCCCAATATCTGCTGGGTGTCACACTGGGGGGCACAGCGGGGACAGGGGACATGGCGACGCCCAGGGGGGACACGGCGGGGCCCAGCGGGCACAGCCCCCCTCGGGCTCTCACCTGCGTCGCTCTGGGGGTCCATGGTGGCCCGCGGGTGCCGGGGGGGCTCGCAGAGCCGCGTGTCCGTCAGCGCCGGCCGGGGCACCGGGGCTGTGCCCGCGCCGCCCGGGAGCCCTGCGGGACCAAGCGCTGTCAGCACCGCGGGACCCCCGAAACTCCCCCCGCAGCAAACGGGGGGGAGGGGGGTCTGAGCCCGCACCGAGCCCCCCCGAGCACCCACCCCGGGCAGGATGCGGCCCCTCCCTCCCCTCCGGTGTTCCCCGGGATGGGGTGCTGGGGGCACCCCCAGAAGGGACCTGGGGGTCGGCAGCGTTAGAAAAGGCTCTGCAGGGAAAGGGGGGGACCGCGGGACAACGGGGAACGACCCCCGGCCGTGCCACGCCACGGGGACACGGATGGGACCCCCATAAGGACACGGCTGGAGGGGGGACACACGCTGACCCCCCCACCTGCAGCCCCCCAAACCGAGGCGTCACCCCGAGATCGGGGTCTGGGGGCGTCACCCGCGAGGGCCACGCGGCGGGACGGACCCCACGGGCTGGGGGGGGGGACACGGCAGCGGCGCCGCCGGCAGCGCCGAGCCCGGCGCGGTGCAGCGGGGCCCCCCCGGCCCCCCCGGCCGCGCTGCGGAGCCGCCGCCGTGCCGCGCTCGGGCCCCCCGACACTGCGGGAGCCCCCCGAGAGCACCGGGACCCCCCCGCTGCACCGAGCACGGCCCATCAGCGCACCGGGACCCCCACCCGCACCGCGCCCCCCGAGCCGCGCCGGGACCGCTCATTGCGGGGCCCCGCCGAACCGCAGCGGGACCCCCCGATGGCAGCGGGACCCCCCAAGCTGCGGGGCTCCCCCGAACTGCGCAGGGGGAGGGTCCAGGCTGCAGGGCCCCCCCGTTGCACGGGCGCTCCCCCCTGGAGCCGCACCGGGACCCCGGAATGCACAGGACCCCCCTTCCCGCACCGGGGTCCCCTCCTGCAGCCCCCGCCCCGGATCGCAGCGGGACCCCCAGTGCAGCCCCCCGACCCGCAGCGGACCCCCCCCATCACCGGAGCCCCTCCCCGAGCACACCGGGACCCCTCCGCCCCCCCCTCCCGCGGTGCCGCTGCAGCCCCGGACCCGCGCACGGCTCCCCCCGCTGCAGCCCCCCCGAACCCGCACGGGGGTCCCCATGCGGCCCCCCCGCTCCGCACGGCGCGGCCCAGGAATGCAATGGGGCACCCCGCGCCCACCGAACCGCACCCCCATTGCACAGACCCCCCCATCCCGGCCCCGAACCGCACCGGAGCTCCGGGATCGCAGCCCCCCCTCGGCCGCACGGAGCCCCCCCGGGGGTCCCGCACCCCGCGGAGCCCCCCCCGGCGCGGGTCCCCGCCCCGATGCGGCCGCCCCGGTGTCCCCCCGGTGCCGCCCCGGTGCCGCCCGTACCTGGGGTCCCCCCGGTGCCGCCCGGCGCGCGCCCCGCCGCCCCCCCGCCTCCTCCTCCATCTTCGCCGCGCGGCCCCGCCCGCCCCGACAACAACATTCGGTGACGTCACTCCGCGATCACGTGACGGCGCCCAGCGCTAAAAATAGCCCCGCGCGCGCGGAGCCCCTCCCCCCTTAAAGGGGCGGCGCCTAACGAGGGGCGGAGCCTGTCCGGGCCTTAAAGGGGCCGCGCAGCGAGTGAGCGTTAGGCGGTGTCGGTGTGTGAATCAGCGTGTAACATCTTCGTGTGACTGTGTGCGTGCAAGGGCACGCAGGTGTGTGAATGAGCATGTAGCAGCATGGGAATGTGAGTGAGTGTGAGCGTGCCAGGGCACACCCGGGTGTGTGACAGGTGACAGGCCATGCTGCACACACACACACGTGCCACAGGCCAGGCGGGAAACGCTCCGCAGGGCACACGCGTGCTCTGTGTGCAGCTGCACGTCAGCCTGCCACACTCACGGGACACGGGGCACACGTAGACACGCGTGTGCAGGACACACATGCACACACACACACACGCCTGTGGCCTTGTCCACGCACGCGTGCGGGTGTAGCAGGCCCGGGTTGGGGGGGGTCATTTAGCCCGTACCACGGAGACGTGCGGGATGAATCACACCGGGTCGGGGCCGCGCTGAGTCACCGGCGGCGCCGCGGGGCTCGGCCGGGTGACGCGGGACACACGCGTGTGCACATGTGACACGCACGGGGAAAAGGGGTGCGTGGCCCTTTAAGGGGCGCGACCGCGCCTCCTGCCCGCCGCCAGGGGGCGCCCGGTGCCGCAGGGGAAGTTCCGCCCCTTCCCCGGGGACCGCGGGTTCGAGTCCCGGCCCCGCCGCTTCCGCCTCCGGGGCCGGGCCGGGGTCGCGGCGCTGCCATGGTAACGGGGCCGGGGGGACGGAGCCGGTTCTGGGGGTGATCTGGGGTCCCCACGGAGGGTCCCCACAAAGGGATCTCTGCGGGCCCCGCGCGGTGACGGGGGGGCCGATCCGCGGTCCCCTCGGGGCCTGTGAGGCCTTTCCGGGGCCCCCGAGCGTCCCACGGCGGAACCTCCGGGACCACCCCGGTCCCCCCAGCCTGTATGTCCCTCACAACCCCGTTCCTGCCTTTATCCCACAGTCCTGCCACTTGCAGAAGCTTTTTGGGACCGACGGGGAGCTGGAGGATGAGGTGAGGGACCCCCAATGGCCTGGGCCCCCCCGAGGTGCGCTGTGCCCGGGCTGAGCGAGCTGCTGAGCCCGGGAGAATCTGGGGAACGCACGGAGCCGTTTGAATTCCCGCTGTTTATTTTCACAGGATTTCCTCTCCGCTGTGGAAGATGCAGAGAACCAGTTTGTGACCCCCGGGCATTCCTCATCCAGCGTCGTCCCGGTTCTTCCCAGTGAACCCCATCCCAGTAACCCCCATCCCAGTAAAGCCCCCACTCTCCGGCCCCTCGCAGGGCAGGGCGAGCATCCCGTGGGATTCCAGGGCCCCCCATCTCGGGGGGCAGCCCCCCAAGATGAGCTGGACAATGACCTTTTCCTGGCGGCCTGCAGGGAGCTGGAGGGTCCCGAGGTGCCCCTGGGGGCTGGCACTGCCCCGGTGCCCCCTGAGCACTGCAAGAAGCCGCCATGGAAGTGCCCAGGGAAGGAGAACGCTCAGGAATGTGGGGTCCCCAAAAAGCTCAGGGTGGGAGAGGAGCTGATCCCTGGTTCCGGGGGGATGCAGGACAGGCAGAGCCCCCTCGCCAGCCCCAAACTGGTGCTGCGGCCCAGCGCGGCCGGTGCCTGCACCCCCAGACCCCCCATTTCCACGGGAAGCTCTGGAGGCTCCATCCCTGCTCCGGGGGCTCCGTGCCTGAGGCCCGTCCAAGCCCCCCTAGCAAGGAGCAGCCCCTCAGCACCCTGGACCCCCCCAGCACAGAGCTGCCCCCAGCCCCGGCTGCCCCCCAAACCCCCCTCAGGCCCCCCCAGCTTCCCGAACCCCTCAGTGTCTCCCAACGCTCCCGGCCCCCCCAGCGCCCCCGTGGTCACCAACCACCTGGTGCAGCTGGTGACAGCGGCCAGCAAAGCCCCCCGGGGACCCCCCCGAGCCCCCGGGCGCAGGGAGAGCCGGCGCTTCCCAGGGCCCGCCGGGATCCTGCCCCAGCAGGTGGGGGGCACGGGGTGGGGGAGACCGGGCAGGGATGGGGTTGGGTGGGGATGGGGATGGTGTGGGAATGGGGTGAGGATGGGGACAGTGTGGGGACTGGGTGAGGATGGGATGGGAACAGCATGGGAATGGGATGGGGATGGGGATGGGGATGGGATGGGGATGGGGATGGGGATCGGGATGGGATGGGGTGGGGATGGAGACAGGGACAGCATGGGAACTGGGTAAGGATGGGATGGGGATGGGAACCGGGTGAGGATGAGATGGAGATGGGGACAGGAATGCAGTGGGTTGGAATAGGACAGAAATGGGAGTGGGATGTGAGTTGGGATGGGAGGGGGACATCATGGGGACTGGGTAAGGATGGGATGGGGATCTGGAAAGCATGGGAATGGGGTGAGGATGGGATGAGTATGGGGACAGCTTGGGAACTGGGTAAGGATGGGATGGAGATAGGGAAGGATGGGATGGGGATGGGATCAGGAATGCAATAGGTTGGAATAGGACAGAAATGGGAGTTGGATGTGGGTTGGGCTGGGATGGGAGCAGCTGATGAAGCCAGGCAGATCCCTGGACATCTCTCCCTGCCCCACAAGCACTCGGGGAAGCTGCTGGAGGAGATCCTGGTGTCGGCTCCCCAGACTCCTGCTCACGGGGCTGTGGCGAAGCCGCGGGCTCAGGTAACCCCCCCATCCCACCCCTGCTCGGGCAGACCCCAGTGGGAATCCCCCAGTGGGACGCTGGCTGAGAGGGAGCCCCTGGGGCTCTGTCACCATGGATGTCCCTGACCCCAGGCGCTGTCCAGCTCCCCGCTGCCCACCGAGGAGGATTTCGGGAAGGGGCCCTGGCTGGCCATGAAAACGGAGCTGGGGCTGGATGAGAGGGACCCCAGCTGCTTCCTCCACACCTACAGCGTGGTCATGGTGCTCCGCAAGGTGAGGGCGGCCCAAGATTCCTGCTCTTCCCTCGCCCCTCAGAGCTGCTTGTAGGGCTGGGAACCTCTGGGGAGGGGGCTGAGCTGAGCCGGGCACAGACATCCACATCCCATGGGTGATGAGGGCTGTAGAATCCTGGGATACCCCACACGGGGTTCAACTCCCAGGCCTGCCCAAGGTCACCCCAAAATCCCCGTTGTGCTGTGCAGGCAGCCCTGAAGCAGCTCCCCAAAAACAAAGTCCCCAGCATGGCTGTGATGATCAAAACCCTGACCAGGAGCAGCGCTGGAGCTGGCGCCGTGTTCCGGGACCCCACAGGTGAGTGTGCCCCCACGGTACCCGTGCCCCCGCAGTTCCTGTGCCCGCTGGGGCTCTGCCCGTCGCCCCCAGGGCTCAGGGATGCCATCCTCGTTGCCAGGGGAGATGCAGGGCACCGTGCACCGGCTGCTGCTGGAGCAGAGGCAGAGCGAGCTCCGGGCCGGCTCCGTGCTGCTCCTGAGGCAGGTGAGGACAAATACAAGAAAAGGATCTCCCACAGTTTTTCACCTCAGGATTTTTCTCAACTCTTGCTAAAATTTCACCCTTCATTTCTTAAGATTTCCATAAATGGGGCCCTGTAATTCGGGGGGTTTATCCAGGAGCTGTCTCTGCCCTCTCTGCAGGTCGGGGTCTTCTCCCCCTCCCACCGCAACCACTACCTCAACGTGACCCCCACCAACCTCCTCAGGATCTTCCCACCTGAGCCCGAGGGCTGCTCCCCCCGGCAGGTGAGGAGGGGGCACTGTTGGGACCCCCAGGGGCGTCTGGGCTATGGGGACCCCCGAGAGAAGGGGGAGGGCTGGATGAATCCCCCAATAATTCACCCCCACTGGGTTTTGCAGGTCCCTGCCCAGGCTGAGCCGGCCCCAGACCCCCCTGCACAGCCCACCCGGGGTGTCCCTGAGGACTGGGGACAGTCGAGGACAAGTGGGCACAGTGCAGAGCAGCGTCCTGGGGGCTTCTCCCTGTGCCCACCGAGCTCTGATCCCAGCTGGGAAGAGCCAGCGGGAGCTGATGGATGTGACATGGGTGAGTCAGACCCACTCTGGGAGGGGAGGAAAAGCTCCGTGTCCTGTGGAGAGCAGGTTCCCAACCTGAGCAATTCCACCCTCACACAAAACTCACGTCCTGCTGTGCCCTGCAGATGACCTGGACGGGCTCCTGGGGGAGCTGCCCGAGGATTTCTTCTCAGCCGCAGCTCAGGTTGACTGTGGCTGAGCCCAGCAGAGGGTGACAGTGCCGAGGAGCAGTGACACACCTGCCACCCACCCACCTGCTCGTCCCTCTGCCTGTCCGTGCTGTTTGTGGTGGAGCTGAGAGCTGGGGAGGCCCAGGGGAAGTGTCCTCAGCACTGTCCCCAATCCTGGGGCACAGGGGCCCCTCTCTCTCCCAAACCTGCATTAAAGGGCTGTTTTGTTTCTGCATCACCTGTGTCCTCGTGTGTCACCCCTCTGTCCCTTCCCTGGCTGGGAGGAGCCGTTCCCGAGGGTCTCACAGCCCCACAGGACTGGTGGGGGTCCCCACATCCCTCCCCATGGGACATCCCCACCTCAGATCCCTCCCCATGGGACACCCCCACCTCGCACCCACCAACAGGTTAAACCGCCCCGCACCCCGTGACTCTGTTTACCACCACGAGTTATTTATAGGGCCCTGGCTCCGGGATTTGATTCCACATCCGTGTGTGGGGCACAGCCCTATTTATAACCCCCCCCCCGAGGCTCAGGGCAGCGCTCGCTGTCCCCGGAGCCTCCCCTGCCCCGCGGGGCTCCCCATGGCCCACGAGTCGTTCGCCTTCAGCCCGTCGGCGCTGCGCTCGCTGCGGCTGCAGCGGGAGCTGCTGGAGCGGGACGATCGGCGCCGGGCGCT